TGCTCTAGAGCCCGCGAGCCACAACTACTGAGCCTGTGCGCCACAACTGCTGTAGCCCACATGCCTAGAGCCCGTGCTCCGCAACAAGAGGAGCCACCGCAATGAGAAGCCCGCGCATCACAACGAAGAGTAGCCCCCATTCGCTGCAACTAGAGAAAGCCCGCGCACAGCAGTGAAGACCCAAATGCAGCCAAAATAAAATAATAAAATAAGTAAATGTGGTGTATATATATATATAAAGATTTCAAGCATGAAAACTGCATAATTGTAAATTCTTTAGCTGGGGTAACGGCATTTGATTTGTTTGCGCTGGTTGATGGGTAGCTGACAGACCGTGGGATTTGATCAGCAGCTCTTGTCCACCTCTTTTCAGGCTGGCTTTGGGATGCTTTAGTTCCTACTTCCTTTAGTTATTCTGCTTTCTCTTTTGGTATTATTATTATTTACTTTTTTGGTTTTTTTAAAGGCAAACCAGACATTTTTATCTGGAAAGGAAAACTATTTTGGGCCTAGGCATTAACAGGCTGTCCTCAGAGAACTATGTAACAGAGCTGGAAGCGATTCTCCCGGGATGGCCGGCACGCCACTCTGTCACCCTCCTGTGAAATCTGGCGGGTGGGAGCTGATGGCATTTTTAGCTGTTGGAAAAACCTCTTGCTGCCAGGCTTGCTGTCTATGAGATGAGCCTGTGTGAAAGGAAGGGTCCCAGCTCAGTGGTAAAGATGGGAAGCATTTCTTTTCTTTCTTTGCTTCTTGGCTGAAGTTTCCTATTGCCAGTTTTGGAAGACGCGTTGATCTTCATCTCCCATGGGGGTCCGCGAAGGGACGGGAGAATGCTGTTTAGTTTCTGCCCGTAAGCTCACAGTGTAATTTGACATGAGACTTTCATAATTAAATTATTAGTCAGAGGGCTGACCTGCTATTGGTATGCAGAAGGAGGGAATGTGGCTCTTCGGGTGCCAAATTCCGGAGCACCCCGAGGGTAGGCAGGCTGCCCTTCCCAGCAGACCGGGGCAGGAGCCCAGGGCTGTAAACTTGCTTTCCAGGAAGTGGCTCTAATCCTCGGGATCACTGCGGGATCACAGGACGCGTACCTCCAACTCCTGCTGGTCCTGGCTGGGGCGTCACCCTCTCCAGTTTGCCTCCCCGTCCGATCACTTGGGGGACACTTTGGGCCTCGCTGGAGAAGCAGGTCCCTGGCTTGGGGTTCTGCTCCGAGCGAGGGAGATGACAACTGTCAGATGTAGCCCGTGCGGCCCTTCTTCTGGATGTGGCTTCCTTCTCTGCAGGCCGCTCTCTCCAGGGCTGGCACATCGGCAACCGGCTGAGGCCAGCATGTCGCTGTTTCAGGATGACTGGGGTGGAACTCCTCTGTATTTCTTGGCCGTTTGGCTGAAACCTGGTTTAATGGCAAAGATCACTATATTTTATTTAAGTAGCTGTGTGGAGGTGTCATGCCTTCAGTCCGAGCTGTGAAGACCCCTGGACCAGGGGTTCTTCATTTCTTTTGTGCCATGGATCCCCTTGTATCCGAGTGGCACCAGCCTGTGACCCTTTTCCTGAATACTGTATTTAAACGCATGCAGTAAAACACCAAGTTTTCCCAGGATACCAGGTTTTCTTTACTGGCAGGTCTAATAGCCGTTGAGATTTTGAGCTGACGATAAACATACACAACTGCAGTGTGGATTGAAAGCCTCTGTTATTTCTGTCGGCGACACGGCACAGGGTTTGCTTCCTATAGCCATTTCTGGTTTGTTGCAATGTGTCTATGGAAGGAAATGCTAACTTTCAGTTAGAGGATGGTGAGAATAGAGATTACACCTTTCCCCGTTCAAGGGCATGGACTCCCGGGCTCTGTCCCCACTGTAGTCAACGGGGGGCTCTGTAGCCCAAACTAGAGACTACAACAGAGGAACAGCCTTTCATCAGAGGCAGTCTGGGGCGAATCTTGAGGCAGCTTGGCTGGGGGCTGCTGCTGGGATGAGCTGGGGATTTGGTGCTTTGCCTGATGGAGAAGGAGCCCTGGGCGGGGTGGGGGGGCGGTCAGGTGCAGGATGTCAGGGATGATGTGTTGGTGTTACCTGGGGAGTGTGGACTCAGATGGTCGCATTGTGCAAGCACGTAAGAACTAGGCAACTTTCAGTCCGCTGCCGTCATTGACATGGGGGTCTTCGCATCTGCATCCAGGACAGGGGCAGACGATCCCACCCTGACCCTGTCCTCCCTGGTGCTTTGCCTGCCCACCCACCTGCCCCACCTGCCTCGTCCTTCAGGGAGGAAATGTGGTCCCGTGGGCACCGAGAGGCTGGGGTGCTTTGGAGGGTGGGTGGCATGGAGCACAGAGGCTCAAGGTGCTATGATTGTCTGGGGGCTGCTGCCCCACATGCACCCCACAAAGGAATGAAAGCAAACTCTGGGCCTGGTTCTTCAGGAGTCCGGATTCCAGTTAGGGAGAGGCATGTCAAGGGTGATTGATTAGGTCTGCAAGGACCAGTGAGTGTGGGCAAGTGTGCTTCAGGTGACGTCAATCCCGGGCTCCTCCGTGGAGCAGGGTGGGGTGGGGGCCCTCGCAGGGAGGCCTACCTGTTATGGAGTCCAACCTCATACTGCTCACTGCACACCATGCCAGTAAATTGAGAGACAAGTTTTTGGGGCAAAGAAAAGCCACTTTATTTGCAATTCCAGCAGACCGAGAAGACGGTGCACTGGCAGTCCCAAAGACCCACCTTTCCCAATTATTAACAGAATCCAGGCTTCTTTTCTACTGAAACAGCAGTGGGTGTGGCTGGTTGTTGCACGTCCTTGGTGCCTGTATCCTTGGTTCTCGCAGCTGTCCACAGGTCAGGGCACAACGTTCCTATAAATCTCCAACAAGACAGTTGTTATTTTTCTGTTCTGCAACTTTATCTCTATATGAATGGAAAAGAGTTATACCTTTAAAGGTCAGAGCCTGGAGAATGGGCTCTCCTGCATATTTCAAGCTCTAGGCAACATTCTTTTACAAAGGGGCAGAGCCAGCATGACTCAGCACAGGCAACAGAGCCCAGGGTTAGTGCCAAAGGAATAGATCCAGTATGGAGTCAGGTTTGCTCTTCTCTGTTACACATCCAGGTCCAGGGGGTTTTCCCTCTGCCCATGGAGGGTGTGAACTCAGACGGCAGCTGTAGGAGGTGTGATTGATCCCGGGACCTGGGACGGCTTCAGGAGGGGCCCCGTTTTGCATTTATGAACTTCCCTGCATGGAGTCAGTGAACCGTCTTCCCATTGTGAATGAGGAAGAAGGGAAACCAAGGGGGCCATTGGGGAAAACCTGGGAACAAACGTGGTCACACTTGGCCTCCGGAGACCGCAAGGTGAGGGGCACTGGCCTTGCTGCTCACTGTGATCTGGGCCTTTTACATGCAGGGCTTTTGATGATTTGATATGAAGGAATAAAGGTATTCAAGTGTGACGAAATTTCAGTTCTTTGGGGGTTTAACCCATCAAGGTTTTCCCTCCCTCCCTCTGTCCCCCTCCCTCTCCCTTCCCCCTCTCCTTACCCTCTTCCCCTCCCCCAGTGTCTTCCCCTGGGTCTGCAGTTCAAAGTAAAGGTGGGAGTTGAGATGGGTGCAGGGTGTAAATTCAGCCTCTGACATGATTGAGGCTCCTACCACCTAGCAAATGAGAACAAATTGTTACGAAACAAACCAAGAAATCTTACATGAGAGAAAAACTGTGTTGTCCTTTTTTTAAAAAAAAAAAACAAATGGAGGGGATGATTTGTGGCTTCACTTACTCAGCGCATTTAGTGGCACCGAGCGCGGGGCCGGGGGGTGGGGGACGAGTAAAGCCACAGGTTCCGTCCTCCCTGGTGGAGACAGGTGTCTGTTAGCTGCATGACCGAGACCTCCACTTGGGGTTGTGCTGAGCGTCTGCGTCGGGGCTCAGAGGGACGAGGGACAGGCCAGGACAGAAGGGGGACCTGGAAGGGGGCCAGGGGCCCCCTGGGAACTCACAGTCAGCAGAAGCCCTGGGAAGTGCCCACCCTCTCTCCAAAGGACCAGAGAGAAGGAGGTTGGCCCAAGGGAGATTTATGCTGTGTTCTCGCTGTGACTTGTCCAACTTAGAAAACACCCATTTCCCCTTAAAACTGAAAAGGCAAGGAAGGCCTCAGCCCCTGCACAGGGGCTGTCACCTGGGGCCTGTGCAGCCCTGATTGGTGCCCATGGGCAGGGGAGGGAGGGAGGAAGAGGTGGGAGGAGGTCTGGGGGGCCTGGGGCCATCTGCATCCGCTGTCACTTCCCCACTCTGGGCAGGCCGGGGCCCCCGCTTCAGGGGTGGGGCCAGCCGTCGGTGGCGGGATGTCCATACCTGCTTCGCCGTGTGGCGTGCACAGCGGTGCCCAGCTTGGCTTGAAAGTGAAGTTGCTCTGTCTGTCTTCCCTCAAAGAGAGGGCATTTCCTTACTGTGCGTGTTCTCTGTTCCGACACACTCACTTCTGAGTCCTTCTCCAGGAGGTCCGCAGCCTGCGGGTGGGGAGGTGGCCTTGGAGGTGGGGCAGGGCCTTGGGCCCGGGGAGCTCTGCTCTCCCCGGGAACGCAGACTTGCCTGGTGCCACGTCAGCATGACTGCCACGCTGGGAGGTGGTACAGAGTGTGTCATCGAGAGGAGCAGGACCCTTGGCGGGAGCGTCGCGGGTAAACATCCCCGTGTAAGACGCAGAGATAGGAGCAAAAGCCACACCACCGCCCATTGGGGGAAAGCAGGGCCCGGCTGTCTTCCTCCGTCTCGTGGGTTCACTGCGGTGGGTGGACGGGGCTGTGCAGGACCTGCTGGCCGTGGGGACTGGCCATCACCCTGTCTTTCTGCACAGCAGGGTCTCCATCCCGTTCAGCTCCAGCCACACCTACGTTTGGGGTCAGGATTCCATGGTCCCTCCCAGGGGTCCCTGGCGGCATGGTCGGGGGGCACTGCCAGAGAGGAGAGGTAACTGTATCTTTCTCCCCCCTCGCCCCCAGGGCGTGAGCAGTTCCATGGCCTGGGCTCCATGTACTGCCGGGGGGCGGCTGCCGTCATCCTCACCTACGACGTGAACAATGCCCAGAGCCTGCTGGAGCTGGAGGACAGGTTCTTGGGCCTGACAGACACGGCCAGCGCCGACTGCCTCTTCGCCATCGTGGGAAACAAGGTGGACCTGAGTGAGGAGGGGCCCGGGGAGGGCGGCCAGGAAGGAGGGCAGGGCCCTGGGCTGGCTGGCGGCGGCGGCTGTGCAGCCCCCAGGCTGCCGAAGCAGGTGCAGCTGGAGGACGCGGTGGCCTTTTACAAAAAGATCCTCAAGTACAAGATGCTGGATGAAAAGGAAGTGCCGGCCGCGGAGCAGATGTGCTTCGAGACCAGTGCCAAGACCGGGCACAACGTGGATCTGCTGTTCGAAACCCTGTTTGACATGGTGGTGCCTGTGATCCTGCAGCAGAGAGCCCAGGGGCCGCCGCAGACCGTGGACATCACCAGCTCCAGGCCGCCCGCACGGACCAGATCTGGGTGCTGCGCCTGACGTGCCCAGGCCCGGCCCCCCAGGGTGCACGGACGGTCAGAGGAGAAGATCGGGGGTCACTTTGTAGAACTGCACTTGGAGGAGGAGACCGGGTGGAAATGCCAGCCAGTAGCGAAGGTCCCCGTGACTGGTCCCCCACGTACATCGCTGCCCTGGGAGGTGGGGAGTGGACGAACCGTCCAGGGGAGCCTCCTGCAGAGCCGGGCTCCCGGAGACCACCGTCCCCTGGCTGCCCCGTCTTCACACCTGGCCTCTGACAGAAGGTTTTCGGCTGTCTCGGCACCTGTGTGACTTTCAAACGTTTCTGCTCACTGTGATTTATCTTTGGTCCTACCATTCGGTACTTGTACCCTGATGCATCGTAATGATTCTCGATAAATGTTAATTTATACAAAATCAGGAATCAATGTTTTTTATATCAGTTGCAGCATTGTGAGCCACACATATTATTAAAAAGGATTTTGAGAAGAACTTTGATTTAGACTTTATTTGTGCTCCCATGGGCTCCTTGCTGGGGGTGCTCGAGTGATGGCTGTGAGCTTAAGGCACGTCTCTCTATCTTTAAAAGCTGCATCGAATTCTACAAATTCCAGGTATTTAGGTTGGCCCATCTGCCTAGTTGTCTTGAAGACACGAGTTCCAATAATAGAAGCAAAACTAAAAGCTCTGTCTCTGCTGACCTCTGTGTGGGTCGCCCGGGCAGTTGCTAAATAAGAAACCTCTTTTCCGGGGGTGGGGTGTGGCTTTGTTCTTAAGAGATGCCAAGACAGGGAAGCCGTGAGACAACAGTTTTGTTTTCTTAGAAATTTAATGGAAAACAAGTAGGTCAGGCTTGGGGCTCTCTGTTGGGAAAGGGGTGTCTCAGCCAGCTTGGCAGCTGTAATGAAACACCACAGACCTTTATTTCTCAGTCCTGGGGGCTGGAGGCTAGATTGAGGTGCCAGCCGACTCAGTTTCTGGTGAGGGCACTCTCCTGGCTTGTAGATGGCCACCTTTCTGCATGTGTCCTCACGTACTGGAGGGAGAGAGAGCTCTTGTGACTCTTTCCTTACAAGGGCACTAATCCCATCATGGGGGCCCCACCCTCAAGGCTTCATCCAAACCTGATTACCTCCCAAAGGCCCCACCTCCAGACATCATCCCATCTGGGGGTTAGGACTTCAACATATGGATGTTGGGAGACACAAGCATTCAGTCCTTGACAGGAAGCAAAGTGGGGCAGAGGCTGGTGAACAATGTTTCATGAGCAGTAGTTTTTGGGGGGAGGTGTTCAGTGTTTCTCCGGAGAGCCCATGATCTCTGATGCTGTGGCCTGTAGCCCTGCCTCTGCTCCCGGGTGGTGCACGTCCTCTGGGTAAGCAAACGAGCCCCATCTGTGTGATGGAAACACCATCAGAGCCCCCTGTATGTGACTGGGGAGGCCTCCAATTGAGATGTCCTGTTACTGAAGCAGATCTTGAGGTCTAAAACTTCCATTTTGCAACTGTAGCCCATTCAAAAGTGAAAACGAGTCAGTCTGATTACTTTTCATTGACGTGGCTTAGTTTCCCATTTAGTGGGTGGAAGTTGTATTTATTTTTCCACAAAGTGTGTCTTTGCTAGTGAGACATCTGGGAGACCTAGGAACTTGTCTTTGAAGACTGTGGAGGGGAAAAAGCATCCTAGGAAATTATTTCTGTCTTTGTACTTGAAGGCAGGGGTGGCTGAGTTCCCACAGCCCTTTCCGCCTGAACAGTCTGATTCTCTTGCCCATCTGCTCTCAGCACCCCCAGCTCGTGCCCTTGAATGACCCCGCGTTCTGGAGGATGGCCCAGGACGTCACCTTCTCCATCAACAGCATGTAGGCATTGCACCCTCACTGCTGCCCTAAAAAGTAGGCTTCACTCTGGGCTCTGTCCCAAGTGGACTTTGGGTGCCAGCCTGGGCTCTCACCAGGGAGACTGGTCCTGGGGTCTGAGACTGCTCACGGGTTTCCAGCCGTGGTCGCCCGTGGGCCCAGTTCCCGACCAGGGAACCAGGTCAGTTCTGGGGACGCTTCAGCTGCTTTAGTGAGCTAGCCAATGGAGAAAGAGGGGATCCTCTGCTGGATGTGGGTTCGAGCTGGGACCTCAAACATTCTTTCTTTCCCTTTGCTCAAATGCAGCTGCTCTGTGGCTGGGAGGCCACGGACAGCCGTGGGTTAACCTGCTGAGCCTGGCCCAGGAGCCATCGCTGCAGACTTTCACCCAAGTGTCCTCAGAAACCTTCTTCTCAACAGCAGCTCCTGGCCGGGCATTTCCTGGTGGCCTCGAGGTGTCCTGCGTGGGAAGTTTTGAGGGGGATTATGTTGTAATCTGGGTGTTGGAAACCATGGTTCCCCCTTTTCACAGGCCGCTAGGCCGGTGTCTTAAGAGAACCGCTTTGTCATTTCTGAACCCGCCCTCCTGGTTGAATCAGCACTGCCTGCTGTGCCAGCAACCCTCTCCCACAGACATCCGGCAGCTTCATCTCCTGCGACGTCTCCCTCTGGCTGAGGTGAACTGGTGCTCAGAGCCCGGTTGCTGTGGGCAGTGGATTGGAGATGGGTTTGTCCTCCCGAGAGAAGGGGGATGGAGCTGACTCGTGTTCCACCTCCGAGCTCTGCGCCAGCCCTGCACGCGAGGAGCACCTGCGCCGATGACCGCAGCCCACCAGAGGGGGGCGAGCCCTGGGCACTTGCTCTTGTGTCCAAGAGCAAGAGGTGGGGTGGCCTCTGCAGGAGTTTGGAATGTTTTGAGGCAGAATCTGCTCCCGCTGTGGCTGATGGAACCGGGGGTTGTTCTTGCCTTTGTGTAATGAGGCAGGGCCAGCCCCCCTCCGCACCCCACCCCGCCTGCCCTCATTATGTCACACCCCCTCCCCGTTCCCTTAGCACTTGGCCCGATCTTTTCCACTTCTCGAAGCGGGACCCTTTGGCCTGCACTGCTCTCAGATACACCCATTTCCACCAGCTCCTAAAAAGTCCACTGTCCTTTCTTTTCTTCCTGCTTTACATTATTATTAACTGAGGTCCATGCTTTATTTGGATGCCCTTAATTTCACCTAATGTCTTTTCTCTGTTCAGGGTCCCATCTGGACACCACATGACATTTAGTCTCATCTCCTTAGGGTCCCCATGGCTCTAATAGCCTCTCAGACCACCTTGTTTTGGTGATCTTGATAGCCTTGAGGGGTACGGACAGGTGTTCTGTAGGACACCCCTTGACCGGGATTTGTTTGATGTGTTTCTCCTGATGAGGCTGGGGTGGAGGTTTGGGAGGAAGAGCACAGAGGTAAGCGCGCTCCTCAGGTCACGCTCACGGGGCGCCCGCCGTTACCGTGACTCATCACTGATCGCATGGCCCAGGTGTGTGGCTCACGGTCCCCGCGGCACAGGTGCCCTCTCCGCTTCTTCCACACTCTGCTCTCTGGAAGGACGTCGCCAGGCACAGCGCACACGCCCCTCCTTTATGGTAGAATAACTACCCACTTTGGGTGTTTTTACAAGGATTTGTCTCTCCTCCCCATTCATTTATTGATTCCATCGTTATATCGGTATGGACTCACGGACATTTATTTGATTCTTTGGGTTATAATTCAGGATGGCGTCCTTCTTTTTTTTTTTTTTTTTGCGGTATGCGGGCCTCTCACTGTCGTGGCCTCTCCCGTTGCGGAGCACAGGCTCCGGACGCGCAGGCTCAGTGGCCATGGCTCATGGGACCAGCCGCTCCGCGGCACGTGGGATCTTCCTGGACCGGGGCACGAACCCGTGTCCCCTGCATCGGCAGGCGGACTCTCAACCACTGCGCCATCAGGGAAGCCCCGGATGGCTTCCTTCTTGATCACGTTATCCCAGCTTTTGTGAACGGGAAGCTGTGTCTGTTGGCTGCTGTGTCCCTTTGACCCGTTCCCATCTCTGGGGTTTATTTATTTTTTAAAATTTATTTATTTATTTACTATTTATTTTTGGTTGCATTGGGTCTTCGTTGCTGCGCGTGGGCTTTCTCTAGTTGCCGCGAGCGGGGGCTACTCTCCTTTGCGGTGTGCGGGCTTCTCATTGCGGTGGCTTCTCTTGTTGTGGAGCACGCGCTCTAGGCGTGCGGGCTTCAGTAGTTGTGGCTTGTGGACTCTAGGTCGCAGGCTCAGTAGTTGTGGTGCATGGGCTTAGTTGCTCCGTGGCATGTGGGATCTTCCCGGACCAGGGCTCGAACCCGTGTCCCCTGCATTGGCAGATGGGTTCTTAACCACTGTGCCACCAGGGAAGCCCCTGGGGTTTATTTTTGAGTACTTTCTTACTTTCTGGCACCACCTGTGTTCCAGGTTCATCTTGTGTGTTTCCTGCACTCGTCCTAGAATCAGCCATTGCTCCAAGGAGCCCTGGGACCTTTCACTGGGGAAAGTGTCCGAAGCCCAGATCTGGGCTAGGCGTGCTTGTTGCCAGCGGGGCTGGGGGTGTTTCTTTAGAGCCCTCCAGCTGAGAGCAAGGAAGTACACATGTAGATACTGACGCCCATGTCCAGGGGTCTGTGCTCAGCCAAACCTGGTCTGGCCGACCTCTCTCACTCTGATGCATCATCTCCCCGCTTCTCAGCTGTAAACCCCATCTCAGGCAGTGGGAAACGCACTCCCTGCGCCCCCATCCATTCCCCAACTGTTCAGTTGCAGCAGACAATGTGGGTCAAGGCTGCAATAGGGGGAGCACAGCCATGAGGGGGGCGGGCCCTTGGCCTTTGGCTTCAGGCCTCCCTCGTTTCCAAAGTTACCCATGTTAGCATTCTCCCCTCCCCCTCCAATTAGTTCCTAACACCTGCTGTTTCTCTTTTTTAAAAAATAAGTGATGTATGATATCTCGCTTATTTGCGGAATCGAAAAAGAAATGACACAAATGAACGTATTTACAAAACAGAAACATACAGAGTTAGAGAACGAACTTAAGGGTGGGGGGCAGGGATAGGGAGTTTGGGACTGACATGTACACACTGCTATATATAAAATAGACAACCAGCAAGGACCTACTGTATCACGCAGGGAGCTATGCTCAATAGTCTCTCACAACCTAAATGGGAAAAGAATTTGAAAAAGAGTAGATACATGTATATGTAGAACTGGATCACTTTGCTGTACACCTGAAACTAACACAACATGGTTAATCAACTATACTCCAGTATAAAATAAACAGTTAAAAAAAATCACTTCCTCCAAGAGGAATTCTTTGGTTCAAATATCTCTGCTCTGTATTCCTCCTGTACCCCTAATTTCTCCCTTAATAACATTCATGGCGCTTTATTTTAATTACTTTTTTTATTGCCTGTATCCCCCAGTAAACTAAAATTTCTACGGGCAGGCACTAAGTGTGTCTTGTTCCGTGTGGTATTCTTACCACTTAGGACAAGTGATGTGTGCCTTCAACACATATGTTCTTGAAAAAATACTTGTCAAAGGAATAAATAAATAAATATGCCACATTTATAAATATAAAGAAAAGAGCGATGGCCTCTTTCTGGGAACGGCAGCCTGTAGGTAGGGCCACGTCCAGGTGTGATCTGAGCCCTGGTGTCGCTCGGGCAGATGGACGAGATGGGCGCCTCTGTGCTCACGTCAACCTCCCCAGTGGCTCACGGGTACCTGTGGCACTTGCTGAGTGTGCTGACCGGGCCACGTGCCACGTAGCTCTCGAGTGGCAGGGTTGCCATTTCCCGTATTTATACCCTGCAAACCGTTCACTTGGGTTTGTCCTGCCGCTTCACGGTCCTCCCGCAGCTCAATATCACCCCTTCTGTGCGTGTCAGGAATTTACCTTCAGAAGGCTTCTACCTCACCCCTGCACAGCCTGTGTTGGATACCTCTTGTCCGTGGGAACATCTTTAAAACCCTCCAATGGCAGGGAGTCTCCAACCCCTTCTTCTTGAGGCTGGGACATGACACCAAACTCACACGATGGTGTGCACGCCAGCTCTCTTGGGGCCCTTTCACACGTAGGAACTGATTTAATTCTCAGGACGCCCCCGTGGCGAGCAGGGTCTTCGGTTCAGCTCCCCTGGTGGCCCCCAAGTGGAGAGCTGCCCCGGGGTCCTCCGGACTCGCTCTTAGGCAGCGGGAAGCTGGAGCGATATTCCAGGACTTTCTCCGTCTTTCCTGGTGCCCCTCCGACCAGCCAGGATGCTTCCAGAGGTATCTCCTCTGGTTTAACGTGGGTCCTGGCATCGTCTGTGTGAGGGGTGAGGAAATCCACCTTATGAAGCAGTCGCGAGACAGTGATTCTAACCTCAGGGCACCTACTCTCTGGAAAATGGGGGGGGGCAGCGTCAGCCACTCACGTACACTTAGCTTCCGGGGTGGCGGTTCCTCTCAGCCTTGAGAAACTAGACCAGAAAAATCTCACGCAACATGCAAGGGTCTGTGAAGGGCAGAGTTTGAATTTTCAAGGTTCAGAAGGTTGGCTGTTTGACCCAGACTAGGAATCTTCACCTGCTGTCCTTGCACAGGGTCATGAGCTTCGTTGCACAAACAGGTGTTGGGGTTATGGATTATTTGTGTTTGGTTTATATTTGATGGTCGACATTTTGGAATCCAGTTATGTATCGAGATCTTGGTCTTCTCGCCGTATGTATTTTAGGTGTGAGGTTCAGTGTTTAATGCTGGGCACCTACCTCTGATGTGCGAACCTCACAGAGGCATCAAAGCTAAACCATATGAAATCGTGCATATGAAACTTTTGAAAATTACAAGACACTATACAATTTAAAGAATCTTTAAAACAGTTGTGCCATCACCTCCCCGTGCTGGGCATCTTTCAGGCCCTGGCCTCAGCCTCTAGGCTCACCTTTTCCGCTGCAGCTGTTGCTACGGAAACCAGATGTCCACAGGTGTAGCCTACAATGCCTTGCATCAGCTTCACCTGGTTCTCTGATACCTCCACCTGGGGTGCTAGGAGCCCCCTCAGCCCCGGACATGTGAGGCAGCCTGACCCGTGGGGGCAAGAGATGGAGGCTGAAAATGTGCCTTTCCCACGCCTCGGGGGGACCATCTGAGTGTCCTTCTGTGGCCTCCCTCGGTGGGTCCCCGCAGGATTGAACCCTGAGCCCCCCACAGTGGCAGCCCCCTTAGTGAGGTGCCCTGCTTCCTGGGTCACTCTGCCCAGGTCCCATTCCACTGCCTGGAGTCACGTCCCCACTTAACCCTCCGGAGCAGAGTCCTCGTCCTGGGCAGCCGCTGGGGGTATGCAGGCCAGGCAGGTGCTGATCTCCTTCGAGTAACATTATCATGTGGAATTATTATTATAACATTGTCACCTTGTTAACTGTAGAAATTGTACTTAGAAAAAGTTTAATATGAGATTGAATTTTAAAGGGTAAAAATAAATTCTGTGAGTTGGGTGCCTGAAGGTCAGCCAGGTTCCAGAGAAACTGAAGCCGGAAATGTGTCTTGGAGGCTATATCTTGGAAACACTGGGATTTTGTTGGGATGTTGTGCTGGGGCTGGTGAGTGACTGGTACCCATCTTGCTAATCCCCATGAGTGATGGTGCAGGTGTCTTCTGTAAACACTAACGCATTATAAACACAGACAGTTCCCTGGGAAACGAACGACACCACCACAGGCTTGTGTTCAATCTGCTGAAACTTGGAAAACACAGCTGCGCGGTGCCGAGCTGGGTGCAGGGCTCGCACTTGGGCCCGGATGCAGTGTTTTGGGGTTCACGGCAAAGTTTGTGCTCTACGGACTCGAGAAAATTAGGCAGGCAATGACTCGGCGTATAAAAATGTTCAAAACGAACTTTTATTTGGGGGTCGTTACAGAGGATGGAGTAGGCATAGGAATACAATTCTGCACAAAGTACGGAGGGTAAATGTCCAGGGACGGCCTGGGGGCAGTGGAAGCATCACTTCCGACCCTACAAAGTTTGCTGCCACGCAGCCTGGCTGACAACAGACGGTGAGAAGGTCTTCGCTTCTATGTGAGTTTTGCCGAACCCAACGGTCTGTAAGGGGTGGTGGGGAAGAGTGATAGCTGGTGTGCGGACATCAGTGGCTTTTAAAACAAAAGGCACAGTCGGCCTTCCCGAGGGGACCAGGATCCTTCGCGTTGCCGGCGTTTGGGAGAAGAGGGCGCCGTCACCATGGGGGCTCGGAGAGCAGGGCTGCGTCCACCCCCAGGAACCCCCTGAGTGGGAACAGCGGGAGTGAGCTCCGGAGCCCGCAGGCTGCACGGCCTCATCTGTCTATACCTCCCCGTTGAGTTCAATAAGTGGGTTATCAGTGACGGCTGAGACTGCAGTGACTACATAGATACACAGGAAGAAGTTAGCTACACTGAGCGTGGAACCATCTCGTACGGATGGCCTGAGAGGGAGGGTTCGTGGTTTTCCGTTTTGGGGGGGTCAGGGTGTCCTACAGATGCTACAGATGTGGGGAGAGTGGGCAGCGCCTTGGATGCCACGGGGTTATTTGGTCGAAGTGCTGGTGCTGAATTCCTTTGGTGGCCCTTATTTTATTATTCTTTTGGTTTGTTTTTTAAAGAAAAAAAAATGAAGTCAATTTTTGGGTCGGCATCTGAGGTAATAAGTTAAGAATAAGCACCAAAGTGGCCCCCCGGCTGCGTGTCCCCTGGAGAAGCGTGTCCGGCGGGGCGGCCCCGACATCACAGGTTCTTCACGCACACCTGGCAACGGCTGATATGCGTGCGAATGAGACCGGCCTTGAGGGTGTCGGCCGAGGGCGTGCCCTGGAAGCTCTGCTCGGGGATGGTGGTGAGCCAGAAGCTGTACTTGTTGGCATAGTAGTGGCAGGTGCCTCGGGCGCCGTTGCACTCGATGAACGGCGTGGCTCGGAAGTCCTCCAGGCAGCTGCCCGGTGACACCAGCGACTGGCCGCCCCCTTCGTCGCCCGCGGCCGTGTGCTGTGCAGGGTAGGGGGACGGGGCGGAAGAAATGCCGACACGTTAACTTTTTCTTTTAAAGGAAAAATAAAACAGCAAGGTCCTGCTGTAGAGCACAGGGAACTCTGTGCAATATCCTGGGATAAACCATCAGGGGAAAGAACAGGAAAGAGAATGTATGTATGTGTATAACCGAGTCAGTATGTGTATAACCGAGTCACTGTGCCGTACAGTGGAAATTAACAACATTGTAAGTCAGCTACGCTTCAATAAAGTAAATTAAAAAAAATAAAATCAACATGTGGGTCAGAACCAGAGGGTCTATTAAAATTAAGCACCAGGGAATTCCCTGGCCGTCCAGTGGTTAGGACTCCGAGCTCTCACTGCCGAGGGCCCAGGTTCGATTCCTGGTCAGGGAACTAAGATCCCTCAAGCCGTGCGGTGCAGCCAAAAAAAAAAACAAAAGAAAAAACAAAAAAATTAAGCACCAAAGTGCTTCCTGCTCTCCTCCTTTGCTAACGTTTATGAAGGGGGAGTATGGGTGCTTTGAATTTTATTATTTTTTTAAGAAAAGCTCTACTTGCTGATTTTTCTACAGTGAACACGTAATACTAGTGTAATTAGTTTTTTTTCAATCAGAGGGTTGTTGTTAAATTAGCAATTGGTTGCTTGAGATGATCCTGCCTGGGAGACCTGGCCAAGGGTTGGAAGGGATTTTCTTTGCCACTTTCAAGTTCTACTTTCTCTTGGTTTCATAAACATGTTTAGCTTTTACGAAGGGGCATGGTGGGGCTCCGGATCTCAAAGCTTCTCTCTAAAACGTGTCATCTGGCTCGGTCCAGCCAGCCCAGTGGTAAGTGTGGTGTTAGAACCCGCAAATGTAGACCAGGAACACCTCAGCCATGGTGGGCAGGGCACGGAAGAGGCTGTCCTGTGAGATGTTTGGGCAGAAGCCCAGTTTAACCTTTTCTTCAAATGAAGCAGCAAAGAACAAAAACCTCTGAACAGTTTTCTGCTCACAGAATGCGGAAGCCTTCCCAGACAGAGCTGCTGTGTGTTGTCGACAGAGACAAGCAGACGCGTCTTCATGGGGCATCTCAAGCCCCGCTTTGGCCTGAAAGAGCCGAGGCCCTGCTGGTCCCCCCACGCATGTGCACACGCATGCACACACACACCCCTTTTCCAATGTGCTCGCCTCAGAGGACAAGCCTCTGGCTTTGGGACTCGAGCAGCTGACGTCTCTTAAGAGAATCACTCATTGGACACTCGGCCTGTGAGGACCTCATTTGAATTGAAAGGAAAAAGTAAACCGATGGCCGGCTGGAGACTTACAGTCGCCACCAGACCAGCTTCGAGAGGAATCACTGAGGTAAGGGGGGGGGGGCGACGTCTTTGCTGCTGTGGCAGCGATGGATCAAAGCGTGTCTTGTGTGCAGACAAGACAGGGACCGTCCCCCAGACAGGCAGGGGGACACTAAGCCGTGTGCTGGCTCTCCGGCGTCTGTGCCAGCAGGTGCTTCCGTGTTCTTGGAAGGGAAGGTGTGGGCAGCCCATCAATGCCGCCCTGGTTGCACAGCGGGGCGAGGGGACCATGGTCCTCTTGTCACCCGCCTTGGGGATGTCAAGGGCCAGCCTGGCAGGAGGCGCTTACTGAGGATCGTGTGTGCTTATCCCTTATCCCGTGACACAGCTCAAGATGTAATTGCTAATAAAAGAAGGGCTGTCTGACCTTTCTGGATACAGCGTAATCGCTCCCTTCACAAGGAAGAGGCTCGTTTTTAATTTTTGAATTTCTCGGTGGGACCAGAGCTCTGTCCATCCACCAAAGCCCCCTGACATGATTAGCTCCTGAAAAGCAGACAGTTGCCTGTCCCAGCACAGAACTTAGTATCCTGTTGCTTCAAATTATTGCAGCAGCGATACCTTAAAAAATGTTAAAAAATCAACACTTGTTTGTCTTCTCCTTCCTTTTCCAGAATCCAGTTTTTTTTCTGTTGTTTTGATAAGATTAGCAAACTTGGTATATAATATATATATATATATATATATATATAAAAAAATGTTATTAATTTAATTTATGAAATATTTAACACGTTGGGCATCCGGTCAATATAGTGGAATTACGACAGTCATAATAAATATAAATGCAATACAAGACCCACCCTCCCCACTGGACTTTCATTTCTCCCTCTGATGGTAAACAGGAAAATTGTAACGGATGCTGTCATGATAGCCAAATTTATCCTAATTAAGGCTGTACAAAGGCCTGGTGGCAAATTAATGGGTCCCTTCTGGGTGGGGGCAGCTCCAGGCCTAACACGGCTCAACGAGCAAAACGCAGGCTGTATTCCAGCTCTCACTCCTCCCCTGGGCCAGATGCCCTTGTGCAGTGCACAACCTCAACAACTGCCCTGATTAGTCTTACAAAGGCCAGGATGTGGGAGAGGAACCCAGTTTGCACCTGGGCCCGCAGGCTGAGAGAGAGCAGGCAAGCACCACGTACCATGAGGAAGGAATATCCGATCCACAAGCTCCGCCATCCAGCCGGGCAGTGGGGGATGGAGACGTCCTGGCTGTGGACGGCAATGGCAACGGCCGGGGCCTCGCACACGGAGCAGCGGCTAATGTAGGGCCTGATGTCCTCCTCGGCCACAGGCATCATGGGCAGCGGGGCGGTGGTGGAGAGCCAGTAGGACTTGTCGTTCCGGCTGGCATAGTAGCAGATATCGCCAGGGTTGCAGTACAGGAAGGGCATGGTGCTGAACCGGGCCAGGCAGGAGCCCGCCAGCCCTGCGGTGCAGGGAGGGACCGTCACGGCTGAGCATGCCGGGAAGATGCCCCTCCAGGCCCCCCGCGGGGTTCAGCCGTGTGCGGGGCGGGGTGGAGGGCGGGCTCGGGCTTTCCAATCCCTCAGGGGCTGACTCCACTGGCACTGTGCCCTTCCGAGGTTCCCGCACACCTCGGGACCAGGCTGGGTCAGAGGGAGGGGCGACTGGGCGAATAGCACCCCGGTGAGGCCCGTGTCGGGGGGTCTTAAAGCACCAGCCCCCAGCACCCACCGATGGCATCCCAGATGGGGGCCTGGCTCATGGCACCCAGGTGCCTCCCAGATGGACTCTGGTTACTGTGCCCCCCAAATAACTCCACCAACTTCATCTCAGGGCCAGAGTGAGTTATTTCCCCTTTCACACTGACTGCTTTCCAGCTGAGCCGGGTGTCTGCTCTGCCCTGAGGCCTGCTGGGCCCTGTGCTGGCCTTGCCCTGTCTCTGCTGTTTTAGGCCCTTACTCTTGTTTGCTATGTCTCACTTAAAAAAACTTATCTGGACGGGAAGGTGCACAAATCATTGGGTTCAGCCCAACAGATCTCCCCACCACATACATGGCCACCCTCCCTCCAAGCCCCCAATTTTAGTATGTGTTGGCCATGTTTTCTGTGGGCTGTTAGGTCTTTTAAATTCCTTCTGGCAACCAGGCTTCCTTGGATAAATACCAGCACACACGCCCCCATATCCACGCTGCGGGGTTCTAAGTGCCTCCCAGCCCCTCACGGCCCCGGCCTGACTGCTTATACACTGTGGGGCAAGAAGCAAGAACGACGGGGAACCGCTGGCAGCCTCCAGGGCACGGGGCAGCGAGAGGCTGGGCCGCGTGAGCCTGCGGAGGCCGCTGGGGGCTACGAGGCAGAGTCTGCTTCCCGACCCCAGGTTGGGGGCATCTCGGTGCCTTCTGAGGACTCAGCGACCTCACTGTGGCCAGCGGGGCTGGCCGAGCTTGGTAGGCTGTACCTACCTAGATCCTGGTTGTGGGCCTTCTCCTGGCCCTCAAAGTACAGCAGGCTGTATCCGCTCCAGAGCTTGTTCATGCCCACGGGGCACATGGGGTCCTGCTCCGTCTGGCTGTGCTTCACCAGGAGGTGCCCGATGCTGACACTGCGGCCGGGCATGCCAGGCAGGCCGGGGCTCCCGGGGCGGCCTGGCTCCCCTGGGACCCGAGACAAAGAGGCCGCCTTGCAGCTGCCGTGCGGACCGCGGCCCACGTGCTGGCTGCGTGCGTGGCGATATTCACAGCCCTACTCTGCCTTTCCTCAAGGGCCGGGGTCTCAGTGGCTCTGCCCTTTGGGACCAGGAGCCTCCTGGGGAGGCCCGCACCCCATCCCTAACGTGGGACCACAATGATGGGAGTGAACAAGGGGCAGGGACTCAGCCTCCCCCGCGAGCCGTCCCCCCAGGGCGCCCCGTTCTGAGCAGGAATGAGCATCAGGAAGTCAGAAGGGTCACGGAAGCACTGTGTCCAGCCCCGCCCACCTCCTCTGCCCCAGGCGGCAGGTCCCCCTGCTGATGCTTCGGGGAGCGGCCATTCCCAAGGCTGGAAGCCCGCCTCCCCAGATGTCCACCGGGGGCCCGATTCTGGCCCTGACGCTGCAGAACGGCTGATCTGCCCCCAACAGGACACCCCTTCAGACCTCTGGAATCAGCCGTCCTGGGTGACCCTGCCTTTCTGAGGACGTGCCGTCCACCCTGCACTGTCTTGGCCCCTGGCCTGGATGCGCCGCCCCCTGCCCCGCCATGCGTGTCTCGGGTTGCATCCCCCAGCATTTTACACTCTCCTGGCCGTGGGTCGCCGTGTGCTTCCTGCGATCTGGACGCTGACCGTGCAGCCCGCCTTTACTGTCAGCACGGTGCTCACACCTCGGGCTCAAACCGAGCGCAGGTGGATTACACCAACTCTCAAGACTTTGTTTTGCATGAATTGCTATTATTTCTGGCCTATCCCATCCTGCACACGTGCAAATAATTTTAAGAAGTCGATGACATAAGACTTCACAGCGGCTCCTGTAATGTAATCGGTGACTTTCAGCTCATAGTTTCCGGCCCTCAAGAGCTTTAGGAATCTTGTCTCTCGAAATATGTCTGCTGCTTCCTTCTCTGAGGCACCTGCAGATGTCTCAGAGGAAGGAAGGAGGCCGGCCTGTCCTGGGGACTCTGTGCCAGGTGTTCTGCCAGATGCAGGGGACACCGGGTTGGCGCAGGTATATGGGCCTTGCCCAGGACCCAGGCTGCAGTGGGGGCCCCAGGCTCTGGGCTAGGGGGTGCAGCCCCTCATCTCTGCTCATCTCGGGGCTCATCTGACCCCTCCCCGTACACCACAGTCCGTTTAGCAGACTCACAGCGGGACCTGGAGGAAGCTCCCTGCCCTCTGCCCCCTCTGTCACCATCACTCACCTTCATAGCCAACGGGCCCCTGCAGCCCCACGGGCCCCTGGTCTCCTCGGAACCCGGGAACAGCTGACACGCCGCCTCTTCCCTGGGGCCCTGCCTTCCCTGGAGTCCCGCGGAAACCTGCAGAGCCACCGAGACACGTGTCAGTGCCCCGGGAAGAATGCGATGCTCCATCACTGGTGCTCAGCCAGTGCTTTCCAGCAGGTGAACAAAAGTGAAAGCAAAGCAAACAGGAAACGAGGGGTGGCCCCGCAGCAGTGCTCCTACCTGGTTCTCCCGGGCGGCCCTGGGGTCCCATCTCCCCCTGAGGCCCCGGAGGGCCTCTCCTTCCCTGCGGACCCACTGGGCCCCGCTGGATGGCAACCCTCTGGGGGATTCCTGCAATCCCCGGGGCGCCCACAGCACCCGGGGCACCTGGAAAAGAAAGGCCGGATGATGCGTGAGGACCACTTCGCTCTCTTGCTCTGGTCTCTATTCCATTTTTGACCCACTGAACCAATTCCGGAGCTTCCTTTGAGCCACCGCGCTCTCTAGAGGCGGGGTGGGTGATAACCCACCTGCAAGTCGCTCAGAGCCCTTCCAACAACCCGTCACCACCACGTCCCTGTGACAGAATGACCTCAGAGGCGTCCCCTCTGAGACTCACTTACCCGGGAGTCCTCGATCTCCTTTAGGTCCTTTGGGGCCTCGGTCTCCCACACTCCCGGCGGCGCCTGTGTTGCCCATGAATCCTTGCTCCCCTCTGGGCCCTTCCGGACAAGCAGGACGTTGAGGACACGGGCTGGGCGGGGGCTCTGGCCATCTCTGACCAGCGCCGCCAGCCTCCCCGAGAGGAGCCCCCCACGGGCACCGACCCTTACCTTTTTCTCCCAGGAGCCCGAACACGCCAGGCCGGCCCTGGGGCCCGGAGTCCCCGACCCATCCTTTGGTCCCCGGGTTTCCGGGGGCTCCTGGACTCCCCTCATCTCCTTTGATTCCAGGAAGAGCCACGGGCCCAGGTGGCCCCGGGGGACCTCGATAACCTGTTGGCATCAGTCCCAAGAAAGGTGAGTGTTCACAGCAGGAAGGCACAGTCACGGCCGGGAGGCCGGATACAAAGTCACCCATTCAGGGGACCGGCTTTGGCAAGTTTGTAACACTGGGCAGCTTTGCTTTGTATTGTGGTAAAATATACGTAACATAAACGTTAACATTTTAACCATTTTTAAGTGTACAGTTCAGTGGCATGAGATGCATTCACGTCGCTGTGCAGCCATCACCACCATCCTTCTCTGAACGTGTTCATCTTCCCAGCGGAAGCTCTGTCCCCATTGAACACCAACTGCCCCTCCCCCGGCTCCTGGCCCCCACTATCTACTTTCTGTCCTATGAATGTGGTCACTTAGGGAGCTCCTATCAGACAGTATGTGTCCTTTTCTGTCTGGCTTATTTCACTCGGCATCATGCCCTCAAGGGGACAACAAGAGCGTTCTATCCCTCAAGCAATCAGGTCGTGGCCAGCTCCTGTCCCCAGAGATTCCAATGTATCCCAGTGTGAGCCCTGCTTACCTTCCAGGCCAAATATCCCAGGCGCGCCTACGTCACCTGGTAACCCAGAGACGTTGGAAGGGGGGGTGATGCCTGGAAACCCCTGAAGTCCTGGGCTCCCAACTGGGCCTCGTTCCCCTTAGGAGGGAAATAGAAGTTGGTTAGTACCAGCACCCAGCTTTTCATCTTGTTTCCTCCCTGTGCCCTCACCTGTCCAGGAGCAGGGCCAACAAGGAGAGGCAGTGATGGAAGGCACCCAGCGCAGGCTCTCAGGGCGGGTCTGGGGAGACAGGGGCCGCACTTCCTGTCCCCACTCCCACCAGCCCCCTCTTGCTGCCTAGAGGGTCCCGTGGACCTGCCTCTGCTGGGATATTGTCCTCACCGGCATGCTACCTGCTCAAGGGACAGCTGATGGGGCTACCTGTGGGTGACACCTGGCCCTACCCTGAGGGGAGGATGTCACTGACAGGGCAGCCCTGTTGGCCCAGAGAGCACCCGTCGTGGGAAGGCTCAGGATGGCCGGCGCTGGTATTTCAGTCCTCCCCATGCCGTCCTTCAGGATCCTGGATCCCGACGATGTCCAGCGTCCTGGGCAGAGTCCGCCCTCACTGCCCACAGATTCTGTACTTGCCATCCTGCTTCCCCAACTGAGATTTACTGGTGACCCCCAGTCAATACCCGCAGCGCTCTTGGACAAGCGGGAGGGAGAGAGCGAGTCCCAGCTCAGTGTCAGCAAGGATCCTCCTACTGTCTATTTCGTGCCACGTTTTCTGCACTTCTGTGCTTTTTGTGGGTGATTTCACTGTTTAGAGTGGCCCCCAAGTGTCACGCTGAAGTGCTGTCCAGAGTTTCAGGAAGGCTGGGATGTGCTTCACAGAGAAAACTGTGTTACACGCGCTTGCCTCAGGCCTCAGCTACAGTGCTGGTGGTCCTGTGCTGGTGGCCTGAGCCTGGGTCCTCGGCCCTGGGCGGAGCTGTGTGAACCGCACGCCCCCCCAGGACTCACAAAGGCCCCAGCTGGCCGGCCTTCCTCCTCCTCCTGCCTTCAGATCAGTGCTGTGGGGCTGGGGTATCAGGGAATTCTGGGCTTTGCACTTAATGAAAGGGGAGAGGACAGACCCTGGAGAATCAGATGACGCGGTCCGTGGGCCTTGAGATACCCGCCCCCCATAGGAGATCAGGGTCTCTGGCCTCCTCAGGGCCTGGCTTCTCCTTTGGTTGTCGATGGCTCTAGCTTCGGGGGTAATTCTGACCAGAGCACGGGCACTCAGGCCCTGGTCTCGGAAGCCCAGGTGTGACGGGCCTGTCTGGTCCAGCAGCCCTGCCGGCTGCCCAGACGGCGCCCGTGGACAGCATGCTGGGCTGAGCTGGGGGTGGGTGCGGGCCCCGGCCGTCAGGAGACAAGCGCTGGGCCGAAAGCACCTGCTGGGGCGCCTCCCTCTCAGTTTAGGTCGAGCTGGTTTGCTGGTGGATGGGCAGGGGGTGGGGCTGGGGCTCGTGCTCAGCGGCTGAGACCCGCTGGCTGCTCCCACCACGGCCCAGGCCTGGCGTGCAGGCACAGCTCAGGGGCTGTGGTGCGTTCATCCACTCATCTACCCAACACTCCCGTGCGCGTGTCACAGCCAGGGCCCTGTGCCGGGTGCACACCTTACCCTGGGGGCACCGAGGGGATGGAGTATGATCTTACCCGTCCTACAAGGGAGTGTGGTCAATAGCTAACCCCAGCGGAGCAAGATTGTGATGGAGTATAAACGATGGAACACTAGTGGGAGGTTTGCAACAAGAAATTCTCCCTAGAGGAGCCGGCACCTGCCCTGCCCCCGGCCTCTCATCTCTCAGACTCACGGACACTGTGGTTCTGGGGGTGCAGATGGTGATACTGGGGTGTTGGCCTCACCTGGGACTCCACGCTCCCCTTTCCGTCCCGGGGCTCCTGCGGGGCCTGGAAGGGTGTTGGCCTCTCCTGGGTCACCCCTGGCCCCGGCAGGACCTGGTAAGCCGGCGTCCCCGTGGATGTCCGCACCTGTGGCCGGGTTGACAGGCAGATGTCAGTGTCTTCAACCGGGCAGAATCCATTTTCATGAGTGGAGGGATAGTAACGCTCTCAGTGGGACCCAGAAACAGAGAACCCAATGGCAGCCGTGGAGATTTCAGCTTCCTAGGTGGCCTTGGTGCCCCAGACCCTGCCACTTGGAAGGAATCCTGGGGATCGTAACTGAACCCCTTTGCTTTATAGGGGAGACCACCGAGGACCCCCGGAAAAATCCCAGATTCCAGGACGCAGGTGGTCCTGCAGCTGAGACCTGCCGAGGGCCCTGGGCTCCTGGTGCTAAGCCTGAGTTAGGTTGAAAAGGAAAACGCTATTGAAAACCTTCCCTGTTCCCACATCAGGGGCTCAACGTAGTAGGTGTCAGAGCGACATAACTTGACCATCTAAACTCGAATTGAAATGTTAACTGAAGCATGAGTGTGTGAATTTATATATGATTCCACACATCCAAATTTACCTGTAGACAGATGAACGTTTGATTATGTAAGACATCTATAAAGAGAATATTCTAAAAGCAGTGGTAGAACTATGGGTATTTTTTTTTCTTTTGCTTAAGTGTATTTTTTTAAGCTTTTCTCTACTCAGCATGAACTTTTATAATCTGAAAACAATAAAAATTGTCCTTAAAAACATATATTAATAATATGCCCTACAAATATTATTAGTCCAATTAATACATTTTAAAAATTAAATGCAAAGACAGGGCATTAAGATTTAAGATGAACTAAATTTAAAATAAAGAAATTTCAGGGAAGTCACTGAGAGTTTTGCACATGTGATGGCATCTTCCCAGAGGGGGACCAAGGGTAAAAAGGAAGCTTTCTGCACAAAGGGGATCTCATCCCCCTTGAGGAATAGATGGACACGCAGATGGTATTCTGAGATCCCAGAAGGGGCTAATCATGCAGACCTCATTCTGCCACTGGCTTTTGGAAAGGATGGGCTTTGTATCTCCTTCAGGAAAAAAAGGGTCATGGTAACTTCCAAGAGCAGCTTCTCACAATTTCTTAAAGGTCTCACTTTCTTCTCCTTACGGAACACCCCGCCCTGCCAAAACCCCCATACGCCACTGCTGTGAAGGGAATTGTCTTTTCTAAACCCATCTGTCAAAGCCCTAACCCGCCATGTGATGGGGTCTGGAGGGGGGCCTTTGGGAGGCATTTGGGGTGAAAGGGCCCCTGATAGGATTGGCGTCCTTATAAGAAGAGATACCAGAGAGCTCGCTCTCCTTCTCCACTGTGTGCGGACACAGCGAGAATCCGGGAAGAGGGTCCTCACCCGGACTCTGCCGCAACGGCACCCACCCCAAGCTTCCCGCCTCCAGACCTGGGAGGAGGAACTAACTCCCTGTTGGTTGGGCCCCCGGTCGGCAGCGTTTTGGGGGAGGAGCCAGATGGGACTGAGTCCCCGTGGCCTCAGGGACGGAGCCCGCCCTGCTCCCTGAGCTCCCCGACCCCCGTCCAAGTCCCTGATGGCCCACCCGATCCCTTGCCCCCCTGCCATCTGGTACCTGGGGATCCTGGGAAGCCTTTGGTGCCTGGCAAGCCGTGTAAGCCGCCGATACCGCGGAGGCCGGGCAGACCTGTGGAGGACCCTCGTGGTTATTCCACGGCGGAGCGGGGGACCCTTAACACAATCAGATGCTCTTTTCTGCTGGGATACGGTCGCCCATCCAGTGTGTTCGAAAGCTGGGCAAACCGGAAGTACAGCAAATACCGTGCCATGTCAGTCAGTCACTTCTGTGTCACCCAGGAGAACCATTAACCTAAAAATCGTTTTCATGGAAACTCTTTACAGACTCGTTACAGCCAGAAGGGGACTGGGCAGTGCTGTGTGTTTCTTTTCCTGATCCGTGAGTCACTGTACGTATGAAAACGGTGCTTGGAACCCGCAGCCTGGTATCATTTCCATCCCTTCTGGATTTCCGAGGATCAGCCTAAAGTGGGACTTGGGAAGCAGGCGACAGTTCTTCCTGTGATGCGGGCAGTGAATGTGGAGTCGGGGTGCGCCCCCCTGAACTCTGGACAGGAGAGTGTCCAAGGGCCTGTCCCCTGACCCAGGCCTGTCAAGGCCGGGCCGAGTAACTCCCCAAGCCCCCCAAGGGCTGCACCAGACCTCGCGGTGGGGACCCTTGCATCTGTCCCTCTGTCCCGCCTCTGCACCGCCCAGGTGCTGACTGAGAGTCACCCTGAGGTCTCCCGGCAGGTTTCTGTTCATCGTTCTGGGGAGTAAAGGCCTCTTTGCAGGTTGCCATTGCTTTGTGTCTGCAGAGAGGGGAGGGGTCTTACCTGGTAGGCCTGGGCTCCCCGGCCAGCCATAGTCTCCTTTGGTGCCGGGCACTCCCGCCCGTCCCGACTCTCCCTGAGGCCCCTGCAGCCCTGTCAGTCCTGGAAAGCCTGGGGGACAAACACATCCTTCAGGGGGACACAGGAACCCCGAGGCCTCGTGGCCTCCAGCTCGGGTCCTGCCTCGGGGAGGGACTTTGCGGGAAAGAACCAGCTTCCCTTCCACGTGGCCTTGGACCCCGCATTCAAGTTCAGCAGGGTTAGCGCAGCCTGGCCAAACAGAACAGCTTGTGTATTCGTAATCTCATTCCATCGTGCACGTGGAAGCCTGGGGAGAACCCAGAGACCCCTTGAGGATCAGCCTGTCTGTGTTCACAGATCCCGGGCAACAGCGAGCAAAACGGCAGCAAGAAAAAAGCACAAAACGAATTCACTCGTGTAACTCGGGATCCCCTGTGAATTCTGCAATTGAAATGCACAAAAGGCAGCTGTCACAGGAACTGTCTAAACATGTACAGAGAGACAGACGGTGGCCGCACAGACACGGCCATCGCCCCTGTGCCTCCACCACAGCTGGGCTGGGCTGGACCTAGGGACGGACAGGTGGGAGGGAGCTGCCTCGGCTGCGACCGCGGGGGAAAAGCAGACGGGCAGAACTGGCCACCCTTGTTTTGGGCCCTTGGAGATTTGGGGGCTTGGCCGCACTCGGCCTCACTGGCCACCGCACCGTCCAGCCAGGCCCAGGGAGGGCAGGCTGGGGGAAGGTGGTGTGGCCTGGGATTTTACCTGTTTGCCCTTTAAGTCCAGGAGGGCCCTGGACTCCTGCCAGGCCGGTGATCCCAGGGAAGCCGACATCACCCTCTGATCCTTTCTCTCCGAAGAATCCCTTTAGACCTGTAACCACAGATGTGCTGCTCAGAACAAACCACAGCCGTCGTGTCACTGGGGCTTAAGGCTCGTGGGGTTCAAGGGCACCAGGTAAAGGATGCTGCCTTCGCACTGGTGCTTCCAATTGTGAGTGGGGGCGGAAATCTAGACGGCTCCTTCCTCAGCTAAATTTCTACCTAATTCCCTGCTCGGAGCCTGTGGTCCGCAGCCTCCAAGCTGGCACCCAGCGGTCTGCGTCCTGGCATTCACACCCTTGTGAGCTCCACCCACACCGAGTAGGGCTGAACTGCGTGAACACCAGGACACCGTGGACGTGCCACTGTGCCACCTTGAGCCCAGCTCATACAGATCATCACTGCTTTCACTCTGACCCTGCTCTGGAGGAAGCCAGCTGCCACGTCATGAGGACACTCAAGCTCGCGGGGAGGAATTGAGGCCTCCCGCCAAGAGCCGCCTTGGACGTGGATGGTCCGGCCCCGTCTAGCCTTCAGATGAGGCAGCCCGCCCGACCTCATGACCAGAATCTCACGAGAACCACCCTGTTTCCGAATTCCTGGCCTCAGAATCTGTCAGATAACACCAGCGGTGGGTGCTCTAAGCCGCCACATTTTGGGGGCCTTGTTAAGCGGCAACAGACCACTCACCTGAGCCCTTATCCGAGTGGTTTCTAACGGGTGCTGTGCTGGGGAATCTGGGGGGTTAGTCAAGACATGAGACGTTTGAGCCTCTCAGGTCTGGGTCAGGCCCGGAATCTGCCTTTTAGACGAGCCCCTCAGGTGCTTCCCTGCTCATTGGGTGGACTTAGAGAGACGCTGGAAGATTCTGGAAACTTCAGACCACCCCGATTCTACAAAGTCACTTCCGCCAGTGTCTCCTGAAATCTCTGAGGCTCTTCTCAGAACAACTACTGTTGACGTTCTCGTGGTCTTGAAGAAAACCACCTAAGACGTTCTGCTTGTTTTCTATGGATTATTTTAGTGTTTTAAAATCTGCTCCAAACCCCTATTTACCTATTTCTTCCATAAACGGTCTCCACCACCTCCACCTGGACCCAGAGTCCAGTGCAGCCTGTCTCTCATCCTCCGAGGAGGGACCAGGCCAGAGCCTCCGGTCCCCGGGGCCCTCCCACTGGGAGGCCACCTGCCCAGGGCCCCTGGGCACCTCCCGCCCACGCTGCAGGGGCAAGCGCTGTGGCCGAGCCCACTTCTTACACTGCACTTGTCTTCGGGCGAATGGAACACCGCCGAGGACGCTGACAACTGACACCGCCCCTCTGCGCCTAGGATACAGTCCCCTGGGGATGGACACAGTGGGAGGCTCCACTTCCTGGACTTCAGGTTAACTAAAAGCTAAACGTTCAAGGGGGAGCAACCATATTTCCTGGGGTGGGGCAGCTTCTCTTTACACACATTTTCAATTGAACAAAAGAGGCCACTGTTAGTGACATATGTGGAAAAGATGGTCTCACATTTCTGCTTTTATAAACCAAACTGCCAAAGTAATTATTTAGGATGGGAGATCCAGCCAGCCTAAGGTACCCTTGTGTCTGGGAATAAAGCCGTCGGGAGACCAAACTGTAGATCTACAGGGAGCCCAGAGGAGTTCATAGGTGAGGTTACCTGTTCCTAAGTGACAGCCCTCCACTCCCAAGCTAGACTGAATGTCCCTTTCCATTCTGGCGCGTTCTCTCAGTAAAGCTCAGCGCCCTCCTTGTTGGCCGAACACACGGACAGATTCTTTCCCCCAACCCGAGCCATCCCTAGGCAGACCTGTGGGGTCTCCCAAGCTAAAATCCCAGGACGGAGGCATCTATTCCAAGTCCCATGGGATATGACACAAGCAGGAATTTTGACCTTGAACTTCAGTGATGCTCAGAGAAGGGGCGTGAGCTGCCATGCCACGTGACACCCCCTGACGTACACAGGGCTGGGGGGCCGCCCCTTGTCTTACGCAGTAGAGAGGTCTGACTTCCACTCCCCTTTCACAGTTTGCAAGGGCTCTGGTCACTGTGTCACTTGCTTCGCGCCCTAGGATGTGTCCCAACAGAACAGGCACGTGTGGTACATTTTAGAGGCTGCAGCCCCTCCCATCCACTGAATGTTGATTCTCTCCATCTTCCCTCTCAGGGAGAGAAAGGTTTCCTGACGTTGTCTTCAGGCTCAATTTAATTACAAATTCCAGTCTTCCTTACACGTCGGGCTTAAGGACCTCAAACCATCCCTACATCGTGATACGTGGGTTCGCTAAGTAACGCTACGGTCGGCAAGCATGAGTGACGACAGACCAGGGGGCAAGGCTGCGGAAGATGAAGGGGTGGAGAATCGCTCGGGTACCTGGTGCTCCAGCGGTGCCTCCTTCCCCCTTCAGGCCTGGACTTCCTGGAAGGTCTATAGTGTTTCCAATATCACCTGTTAGGTGCAAAAAAGATGGCTGAAGTCAGGTCTTCCTGTGGTTAGTTTAGCAACTTCTATGACACTACCTCCCTAATAAGAATAATTTGCTTCCAAGTAACGAACAGCACCCACAGGCCTGATGTCCCCACACTGCCCGGGATGTCCTGGATCGGGGATGTCCTGGATTGGGGATGCCCTGTTTTCACCGTCCCAGCAACACTCACCAAAGTCACCGATGGGGCCGATCTCGCCGTGAAGGCCTACTCTCCCCGGAGCTCCCTTGTCGCCCTGGAGCAAAGCCAAACATGAAACCATCTTACATGGCCGTTCGTGAAGTTTGTAATTTTTTTTATAAGAACTTTTTGTTTTATATTGGAGTATAGCCAATTAACAATGCTGTGAGAAGGGTTTCCCTGGTGGCGCAGTGGTTAAGAATGCAGGGGACACGGGTTCGATCCCTGGTCTCGGAAGATCCCGCATGCCACAGAGCAACTAAGCCCGTGCGCCGCAACTACTGAGCCTGCGCTCTAGAGCCCGTGAGCCACAACTACTGAGCCCGCGTGCTACAACTACTGAGCCCACGTGCCACAACTACTGAGCCCGTGCGCCTAGAGCCCGTGCTCCTCAACAAGAGAAGCCACCGCAATGAAAAGCCCGCGCACCGCAATGAAGAGTAGCCCCTGCTCACCGCAACTAGAGAAAGCCCGCGCGCAGCAACGAAGACCCAATGCAGCCAAAAATAAACAAACAAATAAATAAATTTATTAAAAAACCCTGATGCTGTGACAGATTCAGGTGCACAGCGAAGTGACTCAGCCATACGTGTACATGTATCCTTTCTCTCCCAGACTTGCCTCCCATCCAGGCTGCCACATAACGTTGAGCAGAGTTCCCTGTGCTATACAGTAGGTCCTTGCTGGTTATCCATTTTAAATATAGCAGTGTGGACATGTCAATCCCAAACTCCCTGACTATCCCTCCCCCCAACCCTTCCCCCCCGGGAACCATAAGTCCGTTCTCTAAGTCTGTGAGTCTGCTTCTGTTTTGTAAGTAAGTTCATCATTTCTTTTTAGATTCTGCATATAATGGATATCATACGATATTTCTCTTTCTCTGTCTGACTTGGTGAAGTTTGCAATTTTGAAGGGTTTGCGATGTCATCATTTTGTAAAGAAGTCCTGAAGTTTTCCAGTGTAGTATAGAAGCTGGTTCGCACACCTGTTCTTATTAAACTGTAAAGCAGTAATGATGGCCGTTTCATTGAAATAAATAACATCAATGACACAGACCATGGTCGTGACAGTGGTAGTAATAATCATGGCTGACTACGCCCTACCCTCTGCCAGGCTTACCCGGGCAAACATGTTGGGTACCGTCTCAAGAGCTCATTCAAGCCTCATAGCAGCCTGTGAGGTGGGTACTGTTATTGCCCATTAGAGAGACGAGGACGTTGAGGCACAGAGAGGTTCAGTGACTTGCCCAGGGTTGTTCAGCCCGTAAGTGGCAGAACTGAGTCTTGTCCCCCAGGGACCGTGGACCGCAGTGCTCGGCCAGCAGGCCATGGGGAGAGGAACTCACAGAAGATGCCCACTTACCCTACTGCCTGTGAAGCCCGGAAACCCTGAGATTCCGGGGGAGCCGGGCACGCCGGGGAATCCTGGTGACCCGGGCACGCCGGGGAATCCGGTATCTCCTTTGACTCCTTTGACGTAGCCTGGTTTCCCCGGCAGCCCAGGGACTCCCGACAGCCCGGGGATCCCTGGCATTCCGGGAAGGCCTGCAGGGAGACTGAGTGTGAAGTTCTGGGGGGACCCTGCTCCACCCCCCCGGGGCCCCGAGAACCACCCGCCAGCCCCTGGTGCGGACGTCAGGGTGTCAGGAGGGCTGCAGTACAGGAGGCTGGCCTGGGCGCTGGGGCGTCTCTGCTACTCTCGCACACTGCGAGGGGCTGGGGTAGGCAGGGGACCCCAGGCCACCGGCTCTGAGGTCAGGCGGGGCCTCACCTTTCAAGCCCAGGTATCCTTTCAGTCCCATGGGGCCTTCATCTCCTTTCTCTCCTTTGATGTCTTTCATTCCTGGCAGGATGCTGGGAGGTGGTCCGGGGGGGCCGGGGTCCCCTCGGCTGCCTAGAAGGAAACAGAGTGCAGTCATTCCCTTGACCTGTGGGTGGCACAGCTCCCCCAAGGCTGCAAGCTGGGAGCCCAGGTGATGGGAGCACCCGTCTTCCTCCACCCTTCTCTCCTCGAGGGAGGCGGGCACAGAGTGTCTTGGCTGGAGGGACCACTACTGACTTCAGAACATGTTCATCACCCCAAAGAACCCTGTGCCCATCAGCGGTCACCCCCTCTGTCCCCCCTTCCCCAGCAAGAGGAACCACTAACCCACTTTCTGACTCTGCAGACAGGTCTGTTCTGGACATTTCATACAAACGGAAGCAGACAGTGTGCGACACAATGTTTTCAAGTTTCATCCATGTCGTAGCATGTGTCAGAGCCTAATTCTTTTTCATTGCTGCCTAGTACTCCTTTATATGGCTATGCCCCATCTTGTTTATCCGTGATGGACACCTGCGTTGTTTCTATTTGGGGCTATAATGAATTATGCTGCTACAAAATCTGTGTGTGAGTTTCTGTGTGGATGTGTGTTTTCAGTCCTCCTGGGCGCACACCCAGGAGTGGATTTTCTGGGTAATTCTGTGCTTTTCTTTCTAAGAAACTGCCAACATTTTCCACCCTGGCTGCTCCACTTGATATTCCCACCAGCAGGGTCTGAGGGTTCCCATGTCTTTACATCCCCATCAACGTTCGTTATTACTAATTCAGTTGTTTTAGAGACCATGGTGATACTTTGAGAAACAAGGGTGTCTGAACAAATGTCACGAAAAAATGTGGTTCGTTGGGAACACCCTTCCTGAATCTCCCACCTGGAGTCTTGGGTTGCCCACCCAGGCCAGGGCTTGGACCAGGCTCGCTTCTGGGGGTCACCGTCTCTTTGCACGGGGTGTAGCCGTCTACCTGGACTACCGTGTTCCTCTGTTGCCAAAGGTGCTCTGTCCTTCAGACTTCACCTTCCGCTTCTCCCCTGGCCTCACCTCCTCGTGTGCACCACGGAATACTCATGGTGAGATACGTTTCTTAGGATGTTTTTGGTTCTTAATGCTGCGTCATTTCCGTTCTCAAGTTCCCTTCGGTTAACGTCACTCCCTCCTTACACACGGCCAGTGTATTGAAGCAAGGAGGAAGCCCTCCAGCTCCTGAGTTAGCTTCTCTTTTAATAGTGTCTAGTGTTTGGGTTGCCGGAACATTGTTCTAGGCAGTGTCAGGCCACCGTGAAAGTGAGTCTCAACCTGGCCGAGAGGTGACGTACCTTTCACACCGGGCTCGCCAGCCAGGCCCTTCAGCCCAGGGACTCCAAAAAATCCAGTCTCTCCTTTGTTTCCCGGAAGCCCGGATCTCCCCTTGAGCCCGAGCATGCCTTGGAAGCCGTCCATCCCGGGAGAACCCTTAACTCCTTCAGAGGGAATGAGAAAAGCGCTGGGTTAGGCGTGGCTAATTGCCACGGTGACAGCCCCACTTGCGACTTGTGTAAGGAGATGCTAAGATTCTTAACGTCCGTAGGATTTTCGGGACAGCACTTGCTAAGGGACTGGTCTGCTGCCTGAGGGGCAGAGTCAGTCCGTCTGCCACCGGGGACAGACGTAAGGCCGATGCAGGCGGACAGACGGGGGGAAACTGGAAGTCACGGGGTCCGTGGTCTTTCCACCAGTTGGAAAGGGGCCCTGGGACTTGGTGTGATGTTGACACTGCGCCCAGCGTGGAAAACTGGCAAAGGGCCCTGGAGAAGGCAGCAAAGTGCCTCCAGCTGCAGTCAAGGGCCAGAGAGCCCCACTAGCGGGGGGACTAGCCTCACCTGCGAGCAGGGAACCCTACGCTGGAGACCAAGCATTTCCCTTTGTTTCGGTTTCTGTTCACCACCCGGCCTCCGGATCTGAATCCCGACTCCCGGGGGCCTGTCCACAGACCGCCCCCCTGGCAGAGAGCAAGTCCCGCTCTTCAGACAGTCCCTCTCTCGTGGGAAGTTAATCAACTGGCATTTGGGGGCACAGCGGTCACAGCCAGCCTGGGCAGCATCACCTGGTCCCCAGAGCCCGACGCAGCCTGGGGCTGCGAGGCTGCGCCCTCCCGCAGAGCTGTCCCACCCGCGCCCCACAGGCTACGTCCCTGGTCATGTTCTGCAGTCACCTTTGGGGCCCGGGGCACCAGGCATCCCGGCCACTCCTTTGAATCCAGGGCTTCCGGGATGACCTCTCTCACCCTGCCAGCCAGGGTCACCTCTATCCCCGGAGACGCCCTTCATGCCCACGGGGCCAGGGACACCTGTGTCACCTGGCTCCCCTCTGTCTCCAGGCAGACCTGTCAGGAAGGGGAAGGAAGATAAAACAAGATGAACAAATCACACAGAGAAAACACCTCTATGATATTTTTGAGACATCGATAACAATAACTTTTGGTAAGAAAAACGTCTCGGAAGGACAATGGGAAAGTGTAACCACAGAGGGGAGTCTGAAGGTGTGACTCGAGCGTGTAGCACACCGCAGGCTGGCCTTTCTAAAGAGGTCCTTCTCCGACAGCCGGCAGCCAGCCCGTGGGACACGAGTCACATGAGACTTTCTCTGCTTGGGCGCAAAGCCACGGAGCTGGAACGGCTGGGGTTACTCGTGGCTGGCGGCACTCCTGACACCACTGGGGTTAGGTTCTAGGGGAGGTCCTGCGACACCTGCCGTCCTCATCTCGTTAGGGTGTCAGCAACTGCCGGCCTGCCCTTCCCCAGCCTCCCCGACAAAGCTCAGCCCCTCTGTTAAAACCCCCCAACGACTCCCTCACCCTTAGCTGGCATTCAACGCCTTCTGAACGCCGGCCCCATGTCCCTGTCTAGGCTCCCACCCCCTCCTCAGATGATGCGCTCTCCCCCGGCTGGTCTCCTGGGGCTGTCCCTCCTAGGAAGGGCCCGTCCTCCACGCCCGGCCCCTCCCGGCCCCTCCTCCCAAGGCTGTTCTAGCCCACAAGCTCCCCTGCGGTCTCAAACGCGGGGCCCTGCGGTCTGGTCACCCTGCTGCTCGCCCCGGCCAAACGCAAGCTTTCCCGTGGGTAATTCCATCCCGTCCCAAACCGTGGGCTCCATCAGGGAGGGCTTTGGCGTGCATCTTGTACACACCATGCTGTGCTCCACGCCTGAGAACAGGCAAGGCCTTGCGAACACTGGTACAGATGGCCCAAAGCCGCTGCCCAGGGTTCCCGTTACTGTGAAACCAGTGGGCGGCACGGTGTCACTCCCCCTGAGTGGAGCCTCCAGGTTTGGGACGCGGTTGAGGCCACTCCTGGGGGACGCATCTGGCTTATGTCTGACCTGTGTGGGGCACGGCAGTGCCTTGTGCGGACCGGCTACGGTCCTGGACAGAGCCGCCACCTCATTATGGCAAACGACAGACTAGGGTCACCCTGGACGTTGCCTCAGGGACGTCTGGGCCCCTCCCAGCCTTTCTGTGATGCGCTCGGTCCCCCTGCAAGGGCTCCACTGAGCAAATGTCTACAGTTTCGTGTCTGTGCTTTCCTGCTCCCGCCCACCTCGCCCCATGGTTTTCCTGAAGGAGGGTTTTTCCTTTCTTCTCCAAATTTTTCACATTCAGGAAACAAATCACGTTGCCTCTTCAAAGCAGAGCAGATTTTGAACTTTTGCAGTGGGAATTCTGTTTTCCTAATGAAATCTTACCTAGAACCCTAATATACACAACAGGTGCAAAGGAAGGGCAGACTTCTCAGGCTGTTTGATGAAATACATGTCCTGAACCTGTCTGGGGCTGAACTGTGTCCCTGCAGAATGCAAATGTTGACATCCTAACCCCAGTACCTTGGAATGTGACTGTATCTAAAGCTGGGCCTTTAAAGAGGTGATTGAAGTTAGTTAAATGAGGTCATGAGAGTGGGTCCCAACCCAGTGTGACAGTTGTCCTTATCAAAAGAGAGATTAGGATGCAGACACGCACAGAGGGGTGACCCTGTGAGGACACAGGGAGAAGACGGCCGTCTACACGCCAAGGAGAGAGGCCTCAGGAGAAACCAGCCCTATGGACACCCTGATCTTGGACTTCCAGCCTCCAGACCGTGAGAGAATAAATTCCTGTCTTTTAAGCCATGCCACGTGCGGTACTTTCCGAACCCCTGCAGCTCTTGAGAGGGGGGTTCCTTGGAGCACAGCTGAGAATTCCCCAAGGGGTCAGTGCTGGTTCCGTTGTCAGTGAGGCCCTGACTCCTTGATGGGAGGGTGGATCCTTACCTCCAAAACCTGGGGTGCCCGGCGGCCCCAAGGGCCCTTCCCGGCCAGGAGCTCCAGGGTAGCCATGCTGTCCTGGTGGCCCGGGCAGTCCCGGCTGGCCCGAAGGTCCTGGGAAGCCCTGCTGACCCTTCGGGCCCGGTATTCCTGGCATCCCCTGGCTTCCTGCAGGAATGGAGACAAGAGCCGTGAGGTCAACCCCATGCAGTTCATTGCAAACAACATCTGTCTCCTCAGGCCTGTTCTATAAAAACAGGTTTTCCAGGTGGTAGGAAGTCCGTATAAATGACAAGATCGAAGTAACTCATGCTCTCACCCCGAGACAGTTACTAACATCTTGTTATATGTCCTGCTGGCCTCTTTTCTGTTCCTGTAACTATACCTAGAAGCAGACATTTGCAGAACTGACACATCATTTTAAGTGCAGTTTTAATCTAGGGTTTTTCACTTGACATTACATTTTGAGCATTTTGCCACATGTTAAAATACTCTTGGGACTTCCCTGGTGGTGCAGTGGTTAAGGATCCGCCTGCCAATGCAGGGGACACGGGTTCAAGCCCTGGTCCGGGAAGATCCCACATGCCGTGGAGCAACTCAGGCCGTGCGCCACAACTACTGAGCCTGCGAGCCACAACTCCTGAAGCCCACATGCCTAGAGCCCATGCTCCGCAACAAGAGAAGCCACCGCAATGAGAAGCCCGCGCACTGCAACGAAGAGTAGCCCCCGCTCGCCGCAACTAGAGAAAGCCTGAAGTGCAGCAACGAAGACCCAACGCAGCCAAAAATAAAAATAAATGAATAAATAAATAAAATTTATAAAAACAAATAAAATGCCCATTACAAGCACGTTAAATGGCTACGTAAGTAACATCCAGGTCTGCCCACTGCTCCTGACAGGGGCGGCCGAATAGACATGGATACAGTTTCCCAAAACCGATGCTTTGGAAGTCAGAGCTTTTGCAGACACAATATTCTCCCAAAGGGCAGGTCATCAAGGCGACGCTGAACACGGGAAGCCGCACAGGCTCGGAAGCTCCTCTGCTGCTGTGGGGTGCCGTTATGCTCAGACTCTTTGAAGTCTGTGGGAAACAGCTACACTTCAAACATCTACCACAAGCAGCCTTCTGTAAAAGAGCTCGGGCAGTTTTTACAGTCGGATCGCAGAAGAGACTGGCGGGCACGTGCTCCTGAGGGTGGGGCGTCCAGCTGCCCGTCGAGAACCGGGCTCATCCCTCAGTGTCTCACGTGAAGGACGCCTACTGGTTTGACGGCTGGTGTTGGGGAGTGTCACCTCTTGCACCACACAGGGAGCCCCTGTCTCATCAGCCCCAGTCATAACAGCTGATGCTTCTCTGACGGGGACCCCAAATGGCCTGGTGGTCACCCCACCCATTCCAGCAACACAATCACATTAAAGCCAGGCATTCTGGGTTCTCAGGGCCCGTTCTGCATAAACTGGGTACGCAAAGCCTTGGATGCCTTGTTCACTCACCAGACAAGAGGCATCTTCCCGCTTTGCTAAACATGCATCGATGACGTTGTGAACGTTACATTTTTTTAAACCCATCAGTTTTACACCCCCAGATTGAGCTGCGTTCCAGTTCATCTCTGTCTCCCTCCCAACCCCTCACCGGGCACGGCCAGCTCCTGTCTTCTTTGCAGAACCGCACACATTCTGCTGAAAGCAGCAGGGAGGACCCTAAGCTGCGCCCCACCCAACTTGGGAAGAGAGCACGTCGGCTAATCTGTACTCGCAGAAGAGCTAAGATGGCCTGTACACAGCATGACAACCCTGTTCTGAAACATTCTAAAGAAACGTTGGAACTAAGGGAGAGAAGAAGCAGCAGGACTCACAGCGTCCTGCATGCAGCCCTGGGCTTCTCACCCAACCCCCAGCAGAGATTTCTGACCCTGCCCCCCGGCCCCTGTGACTTACCCCGGAATCCAGGAGGGCCTCTTTCTCCGGGGGGGCCCTTCAGCCCAGAGCGTCCAGGCAGTCCGGTGTCTCCCCGGGGCCCGGGCTGGGCCCCCAAGACTTCTCCAGGGAGTCCCCTGTCTCCCGGAGGCCCGACTGGCCCCGGCAGGCCGGAGGGACCCGGGAGTCCATCCAGGCCAGGGCGGCCTACTGCACCTTTGACTCCTCGAGGCCCCACGAAGCCTGAAAGGAAACACAGGGCGTCCCTATACCGAGAGGTCTGCATCATGACATCTAAGCGAGGCACCAGAAAGAGAACAAGTGGCCGGGATCCTGCAGGAGGATGTTTGGCTTGTGTGGACTTAGTGAAACCGTCTACGGTTTTGTTTAGATGATACGATTCCCCAGTGCCTGGGCCTCTGCGCACCAAGTAACACAGCCATGCTCCCGCACACCGTCCGAGCCGTGACCACAAAGGGACACCTGTGTTTGGGGCCACTGAGTCGTGGGCTGGGGCACACGGACACCCACGCAGGTACTCCCAACTTCTGCTCACAATTCATTACCAGAAACATGTTCATTTCCCTCCATGTACAGCTCAAACGTTTAAGCTCTTTTAGCCACTAAGTGGCTTCCATGATGCTTTGCTGTGGCAACTGTCGAGGAAATGGTTCGAACTGCTGACTCGGACAAGCTGTGAGCTGCAGAGTGGGCAGGCAACGCCGTGAGCAGCCAAACACAGGTGCTCTCTGCGTCGTATCTGGTGAGCGATCCGCAGATCGGGAACTGGTGCTGAGGGCTCAGAAGAGGATGACCTTATGTGCCCTTAGAAGGTTTCATACCCACTAGAGAGAAATCTCTCTGTGCACCTATCTCTTTTTTCCTGCAAGATCTGTAAGTTTCTTCTGCAAAATTCCAGCACAACTTCAGTGAGGAAAACGGCGACATTTTTTAATTTCCCAAGGACAAGAGCAAAAGTTGGCATCAAGCATTTGTCGAAACAGTTTCTAAATGTTAAAAGATGATCGAGGCGGGGCAGCCCGATGGTACACACAGTCCTTCCCTGAATTTACGTGGCCGAGCGGGAGTCCCACCCTGACTCACCTGGGGGTCCTGGGAATCCCTCTGGACCTGGATCTCCCGGGAGACCCTTGAGCCCTTGTGCTCCATCAGTTCCCGATAATCCCGGAAGCCCTCTGAGGCCTTTGGCACCTAAACAACCCAAAGACACCACGACACAGGTCAGAGCCGCATAAGCCGACCCCAGCAGGAGACGAACAGGAGAGGGTCAAGGCCGGCACCCGACTTAACGTGGCCTCTTAGGAAACGGGGAAGTGACGAGGCTGGGGGATGTCAGCCCCGAAACAGCACCTCTGACAGCTGGCAACCGAGTGTCAGTCTACATGGGCACCTGTCAGTCTACGCCAGAAACGACGAACCTCGGCTCTCATCACGACCTCATGATCTCATTAACCTGATGATCTCACTAACTTCATGTTGTTGAAACACGTCGAAAGTCCTCTCCCCTCACACGCGATGCATGTACATTCCGGGCTCTGCTCCCCCAGCACCTGCTGAAAACTGTCCCACTGCAGTCTGAGCCCCTCCCCCTAAGAGTCGCCACCACTTTGGGGACAGCAGCGTTCGTGCCTGTGCTGGGATCCACGATGGACAGACCCCTCCGGGGCTCGGGCAGGAAGGGTCACGAAATGCCACGTGGATAATGCGCTCGGCTCTCGGAAGACAATACAGGGCCCTTAACTCTGCTTCTTGGTACAGATGACACTTCTGCATTTTGCCTCACCGTCCCCAGATCCTGTCACCCCTGTGCACCTGGACGACACTCTCAAGATCCGAGGTGCCTACGATCAGCCAACGCGCTTTTCCAGTTTGGGGGCTGCCTTGCACTGTAGTACTTTACAGTTTACACAGGACCTCAGCTCCAGGGTTAGGTGTGCAGTATTCAGGGCACCACGTGCAAACTAGGAACCGTCTGGAACACCTGCACTGTTCTCATACAGGCGAGGAGCCTAAGTTCCAGAAGGAACAGGTGAGATGCCCAAAGCCCACAGCTGACGAGCGGTGGACTGAGACTCGCACATGGGCTTCTGGCATCCACGCTGGATCGTCTGAGTGACCCCTCCGTGGGTGGTGGAGGCGTCTTCTCCGCCCCGTCCCAGTCAGAGGAGGGGCGAATCGGAAGGCAGACCCCCCGGGCCGAGCTCTGCCCAGCGGTGCAGCCTGAGAGCTCGCCATCCTAGGCTGACTGACACGGCGTCGGGGCGTCGGCAGCTGTGGTCACTCAGCCCGTCTGTCATCTCTGAAAGGCCGCCCCACGGAGGGGGAGCCTGGACGGCCCCAGACCAGGCTCTGTGACCCAGAACCCTTCCTGAGTCCACATGGATCTTCAGCTGGGTGATGGTCTGTGGCAGCAAAGCCCAGCTCCCAGATCCTACAGACACATTCCTAGCCCCGTGGGTCTGCTCTCCTCTCAGTCAAAACCCGAAAGAAACACTCCTCTCCCGCATGATCCTCTTCTACACCCCGGGACACACGGGGATACAAGGAACGCACAGAGCTAAGCCTCCTCTCTGGGCTTGGGGCGCTGCCGTCTCTGCCAGGCTCGGGTGCCCACCGGGCCTGTGTCGCAGCTGAGGCTGACTTCCACGTGGCAGGAAGCCTCTCTCTTACCCTAGGGTTCGCTAGGTGTCAATCACCGCTCACTTTGCTACACTGATGCGTGCAAGTCGGCTTCCTATAGAAGCTGCCAGTGTGCGGTACGGTACCAAGAATCCTGTGATATCCAGGTGGGGGCGGGGAGGGCAACGCGGGGTTGGGGGCAGAGGAAGACAGCCGGAGAGGGGAAGGGAAGACACGGACGCACGGAGGAAGGCTGGAAGCGCTCTCCCATTACCTGGGGGGCCGGGGGGGCCCGGCTGGCCCGGCGATCCCTTAGGCCCTCCAACACAACCTGGGAAGAGAGGACAGGGGAGCTGTAGCCACGGTCCACACCCATCGTCACAGCTTTGGACGTGGCTAAGGTCGAGGGCGCCGGCCGTGAAAACCGGCTGCCTCTTTACCATCAGGGTAATTTAATGATTCCATTAATCTTGATGCTGATGTAACTGTAATTTCATTTGATAATGAAATCAGAATATTAATATAGGAGGCACATAAGTAAGTCCAGTCGGATGAAAACACGTGCCCCTGCCCCCCGCCCTCCCCGACCCCAGGGCAATTCCCACTGGGGAGGGAGGAAGCTTTCAGTTTCAAAAGCAATGCTGTGACTTCTCCTTTGTGACTTCCATTACTTTCAGAATTAGCAGAGGCAACTCATTTCGCTGTGAGTCGTGCAAAACGAAACCCGGTGGCAGCCACCTCTGGCTGGTGACAGCGCGCAGGGGTATTCTGTCGGACAGAGCACGCTTGCAGACACAGCAGTCCTTCGAGATGCCCTTTGTCTGTCTGCCTGTGATGTGGCAGGGCTCCTATCTTGGCTCGACTTAGCGGCCAAAGAGGGGCTTTGGTCCCCTCTGCCACACGAAGGGTCCGAGGTGCAAAGGCAGACAGCCGAGGCCATGAAAAGAAAGGACCTCGGCCGTCTTCAGGGGGCCTGGGCTCTAGCTGGCAGAGCCTCACCCTCAGGGGCCTTCCCGCACCTTCGAGACTGGCCAGCTCTCTGGAAGCTCTGGGGTTGCCGTTCCTGCTCTGCACCCTCACCCTGAGCTCCTGATCTATCCCCACACCTCATGCGGGGGACCCACGGATCCTGATGCTGCTTCTCCAACCCCTGGCCTTTATCCCAAACGCCTTACTCCAGACCCCCAACTGCCACTGGTGAGCTGCCACCGTCCAGATGTTCTGCCGGCACCTTTGACTCCAAAAAAAACTCATCCTCTCTGCTCTGCTCTTCAAATCCTGCCCGAGGCCTGGCATCCATCCCCTTGTGTCCTGGACTCATCCCTCTGCCTGGCTTCCCACCTCGGTTTCTAGGCCCCCCTGGCCAGAGACTTGGCCTGTCCGATGGCAGCCGGGTCAACTTCTGGACCATCCCCTCCCCTCAGCTCGCATCATCTGGGCATCCTCTCCTTATCCGTCGGCCCTGTTCCTTCTAGCACCCATTCATCACTGGACCAAATTCTTCTCCCATCTGGACTCACTCCTCACCCTGCATAATGAGCAAATAATTCAGTTGCCCTTTACACACATAGAGACATATATTTGAGGCGTGAAAGGACTTATCTGTTGAGTTCCTGCCAATACTGGAAACAGATGCTTTGTACTGCAGGGACAACTTGGTGACACGAGGTCATCACGCTTGCCCTTCCCTGGGCTCTAAGCTGAGGCAGATGGAGCGCAGCTCCAAGTCCACAAGGGTTTCTATTTCTGATGGCAGCTCTGTGCCCACGGCAGGGATCACATCAGTTCTAGCATATATTCTACAAACTGAGAGTTTTCAAGAATTCTAAAGCCGCCCGACGGTCATGACAGTACCTGGCTGGACGGTCTCCTGTCCATCTGCTCCGATGGGCCTTTTCACACCCGTATCACAATCTAGGGGTGAGACAGTGACAGAGTGAGGCAATTTTGCAATAACGGAAAGTGCCTGGCTTTTCCGTGTGTGTGTGTGTGTGTGTGTGTGTGTGTGTGTGTGTGTGTGTGTGGTGGGAAGGCTGGGACGGGCAGGGCATCAGAGGCCCATTTCTGGACTTCTGTGCTGAGCCTCTGTAACTTCAGCACTAGAGGGAGAGGCCCCACATTCCAGCTGGCGAGAGGAGGCTGCAGTGGGTTCAGAAAACCCCGTGGCCGGGTGTCGCTCGTGTGTGATGAGAACCGATGGTGTGACACCATCTCACGTGACTCGCCCCCGGGGAATTCGCGCACTGCCTAAGAAGAACAGCGGGTGTAGAAGCACAGTGTCTCATGACTTTGAAAGACGCAAGCCTGGACCCCCCCCCCGCCCCCACCGTACCTATTTGTCCTGGAGTGCCGGGGGCGCCGGGAGGCCCGGGGAAGCCTGGAGGTCCAGGTAATCCAGCATCGCCGGGGAAGCCACGCTCGCCTTTGGGGCCTGGCAGCCCCAATCCTGGGGGGCCCCTTTCTCCTGGAATGCCCTTAGTACCGGGGGGTCCTGCGTGGCCTGCGTCCCCTGAGGGGCCTTTGATGCCATCACCCTGTGAGAAATTTGGTTCATCTCTTACAATACATGTAAACCTCAAAGACAGCCATCTTCCCAGCTACTTTTCCCCGTTCCCTGAATTCTGCGCTCTGGATACAGAGATGAGTAGGAACTGACAGTCGTGGTCTCACCAAGCCACAGAAGTAAAGGACAGACTTTCTAACAACCATGGACAACACCCTCGAAGATAGTTCTGGAAGGCATAGGAATCTGAGTATTCTTCTCTTTCCAAGCCACCAGTGCCCTGCTTGGACCTTCATTCTCCGGGGGAATTCTTCAAGAGAACGGTTAGGCACAGATTTGGCGAAATGGGGGCAGGAACACGTTATTTCATTGTTAGGATTCAGCGTTTGTGACCCATCTCCTAGTCAGAAGGGACAACGCAGTGGTGAAGGGAAGGAAGTCTTTGGCTTGGACGAGAAAGTGCATCAGAAATAAGGAGAGACGATGGGACCAGGAGAGCAGGAAGCTGGGAGGCACCGGGCACAGCCGTGTCCTACTCATGCAACTCCTCAGAGGAGGGTGAGGGCAGGGAGGGAGGAGAAGGGGTCTAGTGTCCATGGCCAACCGCCCTTCCCCGTCTGACCCCCACTTTTCCCCATAGAAAGGAGACTGGGGGCTCTGCATCTTATCACACACAGCCTCTTTCAATGTTTGCTGCAAAAATGCAGCTGTGTATTTTACAGGTGACCCTGGAAAAAGCGTTCCACCTTCCATCTAGGAATATTCGACCTGGGGGGGCTCTCGTTCTACGTGATGGCAAGAGGAATATTTATTTCCTCTTTTTCTCTTAAATGCTCACTCAGGGCTTGGCTTCCAGCCTCACTCACTGTTTCCTAGAAAATATGACTGCTGCTCACGAAAAGAGAACAGGTTGCACTGGGAGGATTTTCTGCTGTGTTAGCACCTCTGACGCTCACGTGTTTAAGCATGTGACTGATGGGGATGAGGGCAGAGCCGCTACCCCCCGCCCGCCAGCGGTACTCACGGGAGAGCCTGGGAGGCCTGGGAATCCATCCAGCCCATCACGGCCTGGGATGCCGCTGTCCCCTTTCAGTCCAGGCACACCTGGGACACCTGGCTGGCCCCGCTCACCTGGGGGAGGAGTGCCGCGTGAGTTGCTCACCCCGGGCAGCCACAGAAGGGTGCATGGTCTAAGATATGCTGGCCACAGGACTGACCTTTGGTGGTGATGGTTCGAGAATCTCCCTTCATTCCTTTGGGCCCGGGAGGGCCAACACCACCAGGGGCTCCCTGTAGAAACAAACACAAGGTTTCTTCCTCCTTCACACTGTTAAAGGCAGCCGAGAAGACAATGATTTTCGTTTATACAACCTGAGGGCCCTTACCTGTCATCAAGCCCAGAGCCACACACCTCTGTCCCTGGCCACCAATCACAGATGGCCATGGGGCACTTGAACGTGGCCAGCGGGACTGAGACACTGAATGTTTAATTTTAAATAGTTAAAACTTAAGGGAAGTAGCCACACATGGCTGGATGGTGAAAACAAGAACCTTGCTACTCAAAGTGTGGTCCCCAGATGGGTTGCACCAGCCTCCCTGGGGGCTTGTCAGGAATGCAGACGCTCAGGCCCACCCAGGGCAACCCAACCGCAATGTGCAGTTCAACAAAGTCCCAGGGATTCGTAAACTCATTAGCTTTGGAGAAGCTAAGGCTGCTAACCCTAACTGCCATTTTGTTGAATCCGGGCAGATAATGTGCCTCCAAGTACGAAGGATGGACATTTGTGATCATACTGAGAATAGCAAGAGTATCTAATCGACAGCTTGTCTTCCTAACTGAAATCAAGGTTGGAAAAAAATCATACTTCACAGACAAGTCATTGCAGGAACACTCACGTTTTAAGGTGTAAAATCTAGTTTAGGTCTTTTGATGAGCAGAAACGAGCAGATGAACGTTTCAGGAGGCTTTTTAATGTGCGTGATATGCCAGTTTGGGGCAACTCTCGGTTACTGGTATGTGCAAGAATACGGGAACTTTTAGTGTTGGTTTAATTAAATGGAATGTTTCAAGGGATTATAAGTTCTTTTCTCCTAAAAAATTCCACAGCTACTTGATATATTGATTTTGTTCTTTGCAGAAAAGGGTGACATTCTCTCAGTAACTAGAACAGCATGTCACACACAGGCAGTGCTCGACCAGGAGGTGCTGGGCCGATGGATGGATGCATGTATGCATGCTAATCGACCCCCATACTTCAAGCGCTCTGCCAGGTTCTATTAGTACAGATATTAAACCACCAAAAACTGTCTCAGGCATTCCTGCCACAGATACATAAACATATAATTAAATGCAAGATAAACACGGTACCTGAGATGTTTGAACGCAAGTGCTGTGGGTGTGCATGCGATACAGCCGGGGAGAGCACGTGCTCCTGGAAGACTTTAGAGATTCCGTGTGCACGAAATGGGATCCATTTGACTTCTCAGAAATATTCCATCATTTTATAAATAACTGAAGGTCCTACCAGTTCTGCCATTATTCGGTTTGGATTCTCACTACGTACACTTTTTCTGAATACTTGAGCAACTTCTACATGCTCAGCCATGATTTGGAGATGGTGTCATTTTTAAAGTAGGAGGAAATGTAGCATCTGTTATGTTCAGTTGGATAAAACTATTTTTCTGAGAAGTCCCGGAGAATGGAGAGGTGCTGTGGACCTCATTTTCACCTGCAAAGCTCCCGCGACACGAAGCAGTTATGAGTCATGAGCCTCTGCACCGACAGCTCTGAGTGGCTGCAGCTCCCCTGCATCTGGACATGAAGCCAGATTGTTCTAACCGTCCCTGGCCAAGTGTCCTGAGCAAACTTTCCTCTATTGCTGAATGTATAAAATGATAGACTTTTCATTTTATAAATCTCTTGCAGCTCTCTTTTTAAGTAAAAATAAATAAAAAATATAGTTTCTTTGCCTTCATCTGAAATTTGCTTTGAGATCCTTGGTCAGTTAAAACCTGCCACGAAGAAAGATCTACTCAAGATGATCTTTTCCTCAGGTGTGAAGTAAAGCCCACTTAGCTGGAATCCAGAAAATGTCATACATTCTTCCAAACTAAATTCATGATATACTTGGAAGTCTCACTTTTTATCAAGTTAAGGGAGGCTTTATTGAAATGCTAAATCGTCCTATACTAAATCTGAAGGGGTGAACACACAGTATGTGGTGTGTAGCTTTGCATTCAAAATGCTAGAAGGGTTGCTTTTTTTGAGATATAATTCACATGCTATAAGAGTAACCATTTTTAAAGCATACAATTCAGTGTTTTTGGTTTTTTTTTGTATTTTCACGAGGTTCTGCAACCATCACTATTACCTAAATCCAGACCATTTTCATCACCTCAGAAAGAAACAGTCACTCTCATTCCCCCCGCCACCCCCAGCCCTTGGTAACCACCAAGATACTTCATCTCAAGATGCCTCTTCTGGACACTTCATACAAATAGCATCATATAATATCTGTTCCTTTGTGTATTATTTCACTTAGCATAATGTTTCTGAGGGCACCACACTGTAGCACGTGTCAGCACTTCATCCCTTTTGATGGCTGAATAATGTCCCATCGGGTGGGTATGCTACGTTTCATTGATCCATTTATGGGCATTTGGGTTTTTTCTACTTTCCGGCTGGTATCATGAATGCTGCTGTGAGCTTAATGCACAAGTTTTGGTGTGGACACGTGTTTTCAGTTCTCCGGGGTCTGTACTGGGAGGGGACTTTCTGGGTCACACGACACCTCTAAGTTTGACTTTTTAAAAATTTGTTGCCTTCGCTGTATGGCTTGTGGGATTTTAGTTCCTCAACTAGGGATTGAACCCAGTCCCTAGGCAGTGAGAGCACAGAGTCCTAACCAGTGGACTGCCAGGGAATTCCCTATGTTTGACTTTTTTGAGGAAGCATCAAACTTTTCCACAGTGCCTACCCCATTTCACATTCCCACCAGGAAAAGCTTTAAAGCTCCTCTTGGAATACGTGGCTTTTTTGAATGTCACACTGGGTGCATAAGTGTTGCTGGTCTAAAGCTGTATTAATTCAATAAATAAAAGCCGGGAATGGGGAAATGGGGCCGGGCGTCAAGGTCGTCTTATCGGCTTCGTGGTACAACTGGTCTCTCACCTTGAATCCTGGGAACCCGGGGATGCCGTGCTGGCCGGGGTCTCCCGGGCTGCCTTTCCTCCCTGGTTCCCCATTGGTGCCGGGAAAGCCCTTGGGTCCTGGTGGCCCCGGAAGACCCCCAATGAACTGGTCACCCTCTGCACATTGACAGTCGCCGGCATCGCCTGCAACGTGGGTGGAGAGAGAGGGACTTGTTATTTGCTCGTGAAGCACGTGTACGACCCTCCTGTTGGCTCTGCAGGGGACAGGAGGGCAAGGGGCTGAGGGCTTGGCTGGGGGCGTGGCCACCGCAGGACACGCCTACTCTGGTCCTCACTCCCTCTCATTCTTAGACAAGGAGCGTGAGATGCAGATACGTAAAGAACAGGACGTTGACGGAGGTGTGGGCGGAGTTGGGGACTCAGCGACAGGAGTTCTGAGAAGCCACCGCAGGGGCCTCGGGGGGAGGGCAGGAAGGTCCAGGGTGAAGGGGAGCCAGAGAGAGGGCGGCCTGGCAGCAGCTGCGGGCTTGGAGCCCAAGGTCCTGGTGCGGAGGGAAGAAATACGTGCCCTCCCTTCTTCTGTCTTGCTGGCTGGACCCAGGGAGCCCGGGGGCAGGGGACGGCTGAGCTGGAGGCTGGTGATCGGCTTGGCTCCCAGGGCGCAAAGGGGGACACGTGACGGCCCAGGGGTGCCGAGCTGCCCAGCTCATCCACGACGCCGGACCCCTGCACTGCCCACAGCTCCACGTGTGCCGCAGAGGTCTGGCAGTTAAAACCCGGGATGCCCAGGGATGGGCGAGCCGAACAGGCCCCCCCCCCCCGAGGTCCCCACAGGCGGCCCTTGCCTGGAGAGGTGGGGTCCCCCAGGCGAAGCAGGGAGAGGAAAGCAAGCACAGCTCGTTCCCACCAGCGTCCGCCCCACCTGGGCAGGTCACATCTCTCCTGCTTTGCCACCGCCTTGCTGCCAACGCATCCCTAACTCGGAGAGTCGGGTTAGGACCAAACCAGATGACGACCCTACAACCCTCTGCAAATACTTGTTACATTTTCTTGGAGCCTAGGGCTCGGATGAGTCATCTGAATTCAGTCTAAGAGGCCACCGTGCATCTTTTCTGTCCCATGTTGGGCCCCGTGTTGCCTGAAAGTTCAGTGATGAACGTGGCAGACAGAACAGAGACGGGAGAGCCAGCTGAGAGCTGGGTGTGCGGAAAACGAGGAGATGCCGCCCCCCAGTGTGAGGGCCCTGGCAGGGAGGGGGCCGGGGGGATGCAGGGGCTCGTCCTCTTCTTGGAACCAGTGAAGGGTGAGCTGGACTCAGGAGGGCCAAGCAGCGCCCCGCCCCCTGCTGTTCCCGGACTCCTCACCTTTCCATCCTTTCTGTCCGCGAGCCCCGGGGAAACCAGAAGGTCCAGGGTAGCCCACCCTGCCCTCTGCTCCTTTAAGGCCGAAAAGGAAACCTGAGGAGAAAACCCACAAGGACGGCACGTTAGCACAGCCCAGGACCCCGTATGCCCCCACCCCGTATCCCCCCACCCCGTGTGGGAAGGGTTACAGCCGAGTCTCCCAACAGAAAATGGCCCCCATTCCAATTCCATCCCGACTACTTGCAGAAAGACACGGAGACTTTATGTTTTGTGGCCATTTTGCTTCCAGGATTGGAAACACATGTGAACGCCTATGATTTTAGCTTTTCCATTGAAGTCTAGAAATAGAAATCTTTACTTTTCAGAAACACTGAGTCCAAAGAAGACTTTAGGTTTTTTAACCACGTGTTTTACTTCAACTTGGGTTCTAAGAGTACTGCAACTTCTGGTTCCCAGCATGACAGAAAACCCAAACGGTAAAAGATGTTAAAATGAACCGGCTTCCCCAGTTCTGTCCTCTCCTCTGGAACACGCGAGCACCTGTGCACGCCCCTGCCCCCAGACCCCACCATCTTTCCTCTTTCACTCCTTTGGGTGCACACACGTAACCATGTAGATAACTTGTGATTCTCCCACCCCCATCACTAGGATCACGGTGCTTCAGGCATCCTTTCACCATGTCCAGGGCTCTGATAATTCCAAGCAGGGACATCTGGGTGAGGGTGTAAGAAACAGACTCTAGAAGCCCACAAAACGCTCCGTGTCCCACTTGAGCAGAGCGCCATCTCGTGGTGGGAACTGGGCTGCACATTCCTGGGAAGCACCACTGCTGGGTATTGACTCCCAGGACTCTGGCCCGAGCTCCGGGGTATGTGGAGATGGGTTGAGGCCCAGGAGGGGACCATGCTGGGTGGGGAGCTGGGGAGGGGAGACCCAGAGTTCGGTATGGGGCATGCAAATTTGGAGATGCCCGTGAGACACACAGTGGTGACGAGGTGTCCAGCTAACAGCTGGGATGAGTTTGCAGCTCAGCATACTGAACTGGGCTAGGGACACAGTTAGGGAGAGCTGGCACCTAACTGGTGTTTAAATTCCTGTGAATGCAGGAGCGTGCTAGATAGAGAGACACAGACAGGCGCTCCATTGCCCATGGGATGGTGGAGGGGGAAGAAGGAAGACCTAGCAAAGGAGCCGCAAAAAGAAGGGGAGAGATGACAAGGCGCAGGGGGAGGGGAGCTGGAGAAGACAGTGTGTGTGTGGGGTGCCGGCTGCCCCCTGTACCCCTGGGAGGCTGCTGACAGAGCAAATGGTGCCCAGGATGTGGCTCCATAGGTCACTGGTGACCAGGTCACCAGCATGTCAGCCTAGCGGTGGACTGAGGGCTTTATGCTATGTTTCCACGTTCTCCTGATATGTTAGGAGAAGCTAGTATTACAGGTAGTCATTTAATCACAGATACTCCAGGGATGTTGGCTTTGAAAATCTGAGACGAAGACATTGTGGGTATGCTTCACAGCATTTGCAAATCTAGACAGAAAAGGCAGTTTTGGGCCATCTTAAGGTTCCATCCTCCCTCCTTCCTACACTGCTTTTTTCTTCATCTGGTAAATTCATAACTTCAAGCAAGTCCTAAAGAACAGCACTGTGCCAGGGAACTCTTCCTAATGCACTGTGGTAACCTAAATAGGAGGGCAGTCCGAAAGGGAGGGGATCTCTGTATGTGTGCAGCTGAGTCATTTTGCTGTGCAGTGGAGGCTGATACAACGCTATAAAGCAACCATAGTCCAATAAAAATTAATTAAAAAAAATAAAGGGATCTCCTGATGAAAAAAAAAACAAAAAAAGAATAGCAGTGCACCTCTGCGATGTTTCCAACGTGATTTTCCTGAGGAGGTCAGTGGCCGTAATAAACCTGGCAGTAGTTTGACTTATTCTAGAGCCCCGGCAGTCGACTCAGTTACCTGAGCTGAACTGGACGTAAGCAAAACGTTTAGCTCAGAAAGAAAACTGGCTTCACGGTTTGATTTTGCTGGAGCGGCAGAAGAGTAAAAATTCTGGTTTCCATCAGTAGCAACACATAAAACTGAGTGAAATGCAGTTAACGGGAAAAGAATCCAACGGTTTCATTCCAGGGAAAGCGCTGAAGAACTCTTTGGGACTCAAGGTCATTGATGTTAAATTATGACTCTACACAAAAATATTTAAAAGGCCGTTAAGGCTGGCTACTTTTTGTACAAGAGATTGCTTTTAAAAAAGTGATTTGGGAGCAATGTGTCTCATAAGGTAAAATAAACATTTCGAGGAGAACTGAAGTTGATAAAATGTATCAGACACCATTCCATCTGTTTTATAAATTCTCCCTTCAGTTAACCACATGGACCGGAAATTAGTTAATTTGTTTACAGATGACTTACACTGGTAAATCATAGATTTACTAAGCAAGACTTACAAAGCCAGATGGTATGTGTTTGTGTCTATCAAAATGGAATTTAGTTACAGGAATGATGGCAAGGTTAGCCTTCAATCACAGTCTTTTGAAGAGGCTGTATTTTTATGCTTTTATTTTTAACACATCGTGTTCTGTTGCCAAAAAAGGAAAACTCAACAGATACCATTTACTCAGGATACGTAATGTTCACAGAAACTTAGCCATTATCACAGATGCCGCAGTAATAGATATTACTGCCAGGATAATAAAAAAGATTAGTGATAACAGTGCTCAAAGTATTTGGCAAATTCCAGGGAAATACCTGCACCCCGAATTTTTCAAAAGAATGTGAGGATCTGCTTTTTGCAGTTGAAGGAAAATTGGGAACGTAGAGACTTAGTAGCTTAAAATTTAACGCGGAAGACAACAGAGAAGTGACTGCTGAATTTTTAGTGGAAGGAGCATGTACTGATGTGCTTCTCATGCATCCAACAGTTTTCCTTCTAAAGAGACAGCAATGAGAAGCTGGCTTCTGAAAGCAAGCTCGATCTACCTTTCACTGAACTCACACACTATCCATTAGCACATGTGAAGAGATGAGATGAGCGGGGGGTGACATCAGGAATTAAAAGTCAAATATTTTGAAAAGAAGATGCGGAATTGTGTCCATGTCACAGAGACAGAAATAGTGACCTCTTTTTTAGTTCGATTTTACAATGTTCAAAGCATAGCCCTGAAGCTGGAAGCTGAGAGAATAACTGTTTTGGAGGGCAAGCCTCCTTGGAGCTCAGCTGAAAGATGAGCCACGGTTGCATCAGAACCTGGAAACTCAGTTTTGTGCCCGACAGCATGAGGGTCCAGACGCCGTGCCCGTCCAGTCTGTAGACTCTCAGCATCTTCCGTCTGGGCCCCGCCAAGGGCTGCCGCGTCCCGTTACAGGTGGTGCAGCCACTCCTGGTGTGAAGCAGCGTCACCTGTTCAGCTGTAGCTCTGGCTCCTCGGGGGCCCAGATCACCAAGGCTGCCTATCGCGTTGGCTAACCCAGGGGAGAGGCTGTTTGTCAGGGTGGGCCTCTCCTGCCTGCACCCCAGAGCGCCCGCCACACTCTCACACTGCCCACTGCCTAGTTCACGGAATTATTTACAAGAAAATCCCAAGTGAAAATCCAACCGGGGCCAGGCTTTGTCTGGACACTGGCACGACCTCCCTTGAGTTTCCCTCCACTTACCGTCTGGGCCAGGTGGTCCCGGGAACCCTGGGGGACCTCGGAGCCCTGGCTTTCCGTCAGCTCCCGGCAGGCCGGGGTACAGGGCGGGGATGCCCGGCTCTCCTGTGAAGCCTTTGGGTCCCATCTCGCCCGGTAAGCCTCTCTTCTCATCTGAAAATCCAACAGCAATCACAGCAGCGTGAGACCTCTGAGATTCATCCGCTGCGCCGGCGTTCCCGCCCCGGGAGGCCCCCAGCTGGGCCAGTGGTTTACAGTCCCATCAGTGACTTAAAGGGCAACGCCGCTGGTATAGTCCATCACTATCTTTCCACTTGAAGAAGCCCCTCTCCTGGCCCCCAGACGACGGACCGGGAGCTGTTATAACACTGGACGACACCCGTGCTCTTCCCGGCCAAGTGACAGAATCACGTGAGGTATCGTCAGCACACCTCCGACCGAGTGAGGGAGTCACTGTCACAGATGCGTGGTTCTGTGACGACATCCCAACACGTATTCGAGATGCATTAGAGCTGCTGGGCCAGCCTATGAGACAGAGCGCCGACTGGGGGGCCGTGCAGCCAGCGAGGGGCGGGGGTTTGTGTGAGACCCGAGGGGACGTCTCAGTTTCGATGCCGCGGAAGCACGTTACCTTCATCTCCGATGGATGTACCAGGCTGGCCTGGCAAGCCGAGGTCTCCAGGCTCCCCCCGGGCTCCTGGGTCCCCGGGGGCTCCATGGAATCCTGGGTCCCCTCTGGCACCTGGAACCAAGACAGGCCCCACGTTATGAACAAGACTGTTGTCCAGGACTCAAGGCAGATGTTCACTTTTTCGTTGAACGTATATTTACTGATATTCTGTCCATCGCATGAGGCCGGCAGTGTCTAAATGTTTCATCTATGGTGGCCCCTGCTTTCAAGGAGCTCATTTTCAACCAAAGAGGACTGATAAAAGATCCCTATAAATGTTATAAAACAAGAGAGGGACAGAACGCCAACAAGATACAGAGAGGTTTCAAAGGAGGGGAGGATTATTTGGGGGGAGGTCTGACATGGAGGGACCACAGAGAATGAGAATAATAGAAGTGGACGGTATTTTTGAGCTCTTGAGTGTGCAGACTCGGCGCTACACACTTGGCTGGCATCTGACTCCCGTGAAAGCGCGTGTGCATAGTATTGCAGCCCCAGTGTCACAGAGGGGTGAGGCTTCATGAGAAGGTAAGCGGACAGCTGATGGAGACAGATGGCAGGGCAGGGGAGGGCAGAGGACGGTCAGGGGAAGGACGTCCACAGAGGACATCAGCCCAGGTGAAGCAGGTGAGCACGGAGCAGGACACCTGGGGGGGGGGACGGGTGAACAGGGTCGTGGAAAATCAGGTTGCATAACAGCTGAGTCAGCGGGGTGAAGAATGAATGAGACGATTTGGACCCTCCTGCACCAGGCGCCATGGGGGGAGCTGGGGGGGCGACGGGGGCCAACTCCCTCTGAACCCCTCTTCCCCTGAGCCCCAGCTCTTGCCTTGCTGGATGAATGGTAGACGTGAAGATTCTTACAGACCTTTTCCCTAAATAAACAAATGCCAAGGGGCTTTGCTATGCTCCGCTTTACTGCATAGCGTCTTTTTCTGGTCTACAATTGGGAAAGTGGAGAGAGTATGATGTTTCATGGTACAGCGATTAGTAATTGTTAGGAGAGATCACATCACTATGTGATCTTTAATGTTTTAATCTTAAGAGAAAGTCCTTAAGATAAGAAGGGATTCGCTGGGCCTCATGCCAGACGTGTTTGTAAGGGGTGGAACATGTGAGTCTGCGTCCCTGTGCTGGGCTCGGCTGCCTGCAGAGGGGACGGAGGGCTGGGCTCTGGAACAGGGGTGGCCCGGGTCTGAGTCCTGCTCCTTTGCTTGCTACGTACATGATCTGGGGCGAGTTACCCAACTTCTCTGTGCCTCAATTTCTCCATCAGTACAGTGCGGCCAACGCCAGCCCCCATCTCAAAGGGTCTTTACAAGGAGTAAATCAATGGACCGGTGCAAATTAGAACAACTTGCTTCATTGCCTGGCGTGTGCTCAGTAAGCACCATACAAATGTTAGCCATTACCGTGACAATAAAAAGAGACAAAATAAAATTGAAAACCACGGATCTTCTCAGGTGTTTGGGAAAAGAGCAAGGTCACTTTTTAGTTACATTTTGCAATCATTTTTTTCAATGCAAAGCTCTTCGACTCCTTTGCGTTTTGACAAAGCTCCCGCAATGCTGCCTGGTGAGAGGTACATGTATTTTCCTCTCTTCCATGACAGAATCTGCTCATGAGTCAACCTCTCACTCCAAGGAGCCCTGGAGCTTGGTCAGCCTTCCAGCTCACCCAGGACGCAGGAACTCTGCTGTAAGAGGCAAGGAGGGTGGCTGCTGACTTTCTCACCCTGCACTTGGGGAAAAGGAAATTTGACCACCCACTGTCCCGGTGTGGCTTCCAGGGATGCAGGGTGGTGAGGGGAGCTGAATGCATTCCGGGCTCTCAGTCAGGGAGCTTTCTGATGAGTGCAAAGGAGACATCACCAATGTTAATTTTAAAAACTGTGCTCCCAGTATCACCTCACACATGTCAGAATGGCCATCATCAAAAAGTCTACAAATAACAAGTGTGGGCAAAGACGTGGAGAAAAGGGAACCCTCCTACATTGTTGGTGGGAATGTAAATTGATGCAACCACTATGGAGAACAGCATGGAGGTTTCTCAAAAAACTAAAAATAGAATTACCATATGACCCAGCAATTCCACTCCTGGGTATATATTCAAAAAAACAAAGCACACTAATTCAAAAAGACACGTGTACCCCAGTGTTCACTGTGGCGCTACTTACAATAGTCAAGGTACGGAAGCAACCCAAGTGCCCATCAACAGATTTATGGATAAAGAAGATGTGGTACATATATACAATGGAATACTACTCAGCCATGAAAAGGAATGAAATAATGCCATTTGCAGCAACATGGATGGACTTGGAGGGCATTATGCTAAGTGAAATAAGTCAGACCGAGAAAGACAAATACTGTGTGATATCACTTATATATGGAATCTAAAATATACGACCGACTAGTGAATATAACAAAAAAGAAGCAGAGACACAGATCTAGAGAACAAACCAGTGGTTACTAGTGGGGTGAGGGAAGGGAGGAGGGGCCATATAGGGATAGGGGGACAGAAGGGTTATTGAGGGATTATATGAAATCATGTGTGTGAAACTTTTGAAAACTGTAAAGCACTATAGAATTTAAAGAATCTTTCATTCAATAAAAAAAAAATTTTAAAAAAGTGGGTTGCAAAATAAAAAAAAATTAAGTTCCCAAAGTCTCAAAGACATGATTTCCATTTCACTAAAATCACCAACAGTAAGTCAACCTCATGTCGGGTCCCTGGGGTTTCTGGCTTGGCAGACGTGTTAGGCTCCCCAGAGAAGGACGGGAAGCTGGCTCCACAGTGGTGTGGACTCCCAGGTTTGAGTTTATTTGAAATATACTCATCGATGGTTTGATGTCACCCTGGAGATAGACCTCTAGGGGACCCCACCTGGCCTTGTCCTTGGCCTCGCTCTGTCTATAGTTTCCCCATCGTTGGATGAAGACATGCAAAGGTATTAAACCAGCAGATGGTTCACACCTAAGCAGGAACGTTAGTCCCTGACCCCTGGGCATAGATAATAGGGTGAGACAGATGACCTACTGGGTACAGGAAGGAAACATTAGAGCATCTTCATTTAAAAAAAATCTCACCCTTTAAAATCCCTATCTGATGTACATGTTTTAGCACATGCAGTATTCAGTCATTCAGGTAAACATTTACTGAGCAACTACCATGTTCCTGGACTGTTCTAGAACTGAGGATACAGTAGTGACCACACAGGCTAAAATCTCTGACCTCAGGGAACATCCTGTATCATGGATAAATTATTCATAAATAAATATTCATACTATTACTTGGAGGGGTGCTGAAAACACTTTTTTTTTAAACCTAGAAGGACGCACATTCAAGAAGGTTCACAGACCATTGCTCTAAGCGCAGAACTAGAATTATATTTTAATAGATCGTGCCGATGGGAGGCTGAGCTAAACTAACAAGGACAGCACAAGCCACAACACATACAGAATCCCTCACTGACACTCAGGGGTCAACTGTGACCGTGGGATCATCTTCCTGTACGAGCTCAGGTGCAAATGCCTGGAGGTTTAATTCTTTGAAGTTTAAAAGGCTGTGACTGTTTCCAGACTATGGACCGTGATCAATCCCAGGCTCCGGACCGGTGAGCGGGGGGCGTAAGCATCTCGGCGTGTTTGGCCCAGAAACCAGTGAAGTGGCTGGGACGGCGCCCATGGAGGCCTGGCGGGCACGAGGGCTGGGTTTCTATAGCGATGCTGCAGGTGGCAGAACCAGAACCTGCACAAGGTATGTGGAAATGAAAGCCTTTCCCAGCGGAGGAAAGTGGTGAGCACTCTTTCAGCCAGAGGCAAAGTGGGGGTCTCTCCAGGACACCCCGCCTAAGCCACGAGGGAGGGAGGGTCCACAAGACTGAGATGCCCCAACGTTTAAGTGCTAAATGTTAACGCGTAAACACTTTTCTTTTTTTGCTTTGTTTCGCTCAGAAAATCTCACAAGGTCATGGCTCTGTGTCCACAACAGACGAGAAAGCAGGACAAGTGGCATACAGACCTTTGGCCAGGGAAGGATGCGGGGAGTAGGCTGGTGGGCCGGGGGGGCCTGGTTCACCCATTTCTCCCTGGAGAGAGAAAAGAGGAAAACGAAGGAACGTGAGGCTGGCCTTTTGGAGTTTTGGACACTATGCCTGTTTCCAAAGAACAGAACTGAAAGCGACCATGAGCCCAGCGGAGGCTGCTCTGAGTCACAGAACCATGGACGGCGTCCGGGCTCCACGTCCGCGATGCTGTGCTGCTAAGTCCGGGCATCCCAGGCACCAGCTGGACACACCAGGAGAGAACAGGTGGGCCGGTGCCCACCTCACCCTGAGACCCTTGTCAATCTCCGGAAGTGGCCAGGTGACCGCCTTCCTCAGGGCAGACTCCTCTGTGTTCATGACCGCACCTGAGCTGCCCATGGGGCCAAGCTGGGGTGGTGTGACGGCACCTGATCCAACACTGTCTGGACGGCGAGACCTGAAATTCCATGAGCTGCCTTGATGTCCCTGAGCCTCACAGGGCCCGTAAGGCCTGACTGTGAGTCCCCTCCCTCCTCACCAGCTATGGCCCACCTGGTGGTAGATGCCCCCCAACCCGGCTAGTTCCCCCACCAGCTGGAGCAGCTGCACCCCCCGGTCCTCAATCTCCCTGCCCGCCCGTGGGATTATTCAAACAAGTCAGTCGTGTCCCCCTCGGGAACCAGGGGCCCCTACCCTCTTGTTACTACGACGCCTGCGTCTCTCAGCCCCCTGGTTCACTCTGCTCCGGGTGCAGGTCCCCACTGCCGCCTCTACGTGGCCCCATATGGCATGCAGCATCCTGAGGCTGAGACACAGGTGACTCATAGGTGAACGTCCACCTCCCTCAGCGCCAGGTGTCGTGTGATCAGTTACATGACACAGGATGGAGGAGGCCTCCTTCTCCAACAGGGTGTTTAGGAGGTGGTCAGAACACCACCCAAGGGAAATAAGGGGAAGTCATTCCAATTCAAATGAAAACTGAGCCCACCTTGGGTCCTGGGTATCCATCAGGGCCTTGGTAACCATCCGGTCCTCTGCTTCCCTGCAGGAAAGATGTTTAGTGCTCTATAATAATTTAATTTAATTACATAATTAAATTAATAATTTAAATATATTAAATCAATAATTTAATTAATACTCTAATTATATAATTATTATATAATAATATAATTTAAAGAGGTAAGCACAATCCATTGTGTCTAATAAAATCAACAATAGTTTGTTAAGATCACCTACTACCCACGTTGTGTTCAATTTCCCCTGATTTTAATCTCAAACATGTCATTTTAAAGTTGCTTTGTCTGAATCAGGATTCAAAAAAAGGCAAACTATGACATTTGGTTGAAATGTCTCTTAATTTGCCTGTAATTCATAACGGTTTTCTCTTCCTTTCTACTTTGGAACCTTTTGTCGCTGCTGTTGAGGAAACTGGGTCATTTGTACTGTGAACGCCCTGTGTGGTGGATTTGGTCCACTCCATCCTTGTGGACTTGCACAACGTGCTCCTTTATCCCCCAGATTTTCTCTAAACTAGTTGTTAGATCTTGGGCCTCCTTAGTCTCAGGTCCATCTTTTTTGAACAAGATTTGTTCCTGGCGGGTCCCGAGTCCTTCCCACTGAGTCACACGTGCCGACTGCCCCCACTGTTGTGATTTCACGATTGACCAGTGGGGTCGGGCGTTGGCAACCTGATCCATCTATTAAAACCTTCTCCCAAGATGGGTTTTGAAAAATTTTAGTTAACACCAACTGGAATCCTTAAACCTTTTCGTTTAGAAGTTTTTGCTCTTCACTGAAAAAAAATATCTAATGCTAATAATGATTGCATTCTAATTCTCTTGAATATGGATTGAAAGACAAAGTTTACCCTTATGAGCCACATCGTATCTGCATAGATATGAAAAGCTTTTAAAAAATCTAGAAATTTATTCCCTCTTGCTAAAGAATATATACAGTAAGCCCCCTCGCCCCAAATTCAGAATGCCAATGGGATAAAGTATATACGTTATCTGATTATTTTACTGCATATTTTGAAATCCAGGAGCACGTATGCTGAAAGTTACATTATTTAGAATGAACTAAGATTAATTTGGTGCTTTCGCGTTGGGCCTCTGGTTTAGATGGGCTTCCTTTCATCCTAGGTGGAGCTGAAGATTCAAAAGTGAAGGCAAATTTCTCTGATAGTAAAAGTGACCTCCTGCTTAGAGGCCATCCCACGAGACAGTCTGGGAGCCCTGACGGAGCTTGGAGTCGGTGAGCAGGCATCCCGACTGAGCCGTGTCCAGTGCGACATAACCGCCCCGTGCAAACAACGCTACCTGTGCTGACGTGGGACAGCCCCCGAGAAGCGTTGGGTGAAAAACATGAACGGAGGACCGCGGAACGGGATGAAATGTTCATTTTCCCTGGTTAAGTTACATGCATGTAAAAATACACGCCCCGCCTGTGCGAGCCCTGATCTGAACACCCACCCCACGTGCACGGGGGTCGCCTCTGGGGAGCGTGCTGGGGGTCTGCGGTGGGCAGGGCTGGCCCGCGCACTCTCTACCTGAGTTAGTGAAGACAGCAAATAGTGAAAATAAAGAAATCATTACTTAAGAAAATCGATTCCTATGTTTTCTCGCGCATCTGAGCTAGCATTCAGACAACTTCTAAGCCCGATGCAGATTTATAGACATTTCTCAGCTACCATTTTCTTCCTACAAAGATGGCCAAAAATCTGCCCATAGAACACAGGATAAAAACAACAACTTGGGTCACCACGGAAGGTAAGCGAAGTGCCAAAATGTGAGAGATCAATACATAAAAAATGTGGGAGGACCTGTGGCCGCCATGTTGGCAACCTTCCTACAGGACGCACTGGTGGTGACACCGAGGAGGGGGCAGGCTGGAAACCACGGGAGCCGTGGCCGGTGCGGGCCGGGTGACGGGAGGCTCGGAGGGAGAGGACCCCAGGGCTGGCTTTTGCCAAACGAGAGAAAACGTAAATGAGCTCGCTTACGTTTTGAGAATGATCTGGGAGGAAGCATTATTTCTGCTACTGTAAACGTGGGAAAGTTTTAAATGTTTTCTCTGGGGACACTTTCTTCTGGGATGCCCCAGTCTTTGTATGTGACCTTTGCAAGGTGTTTCAGGCCTGGAGCAGATTGCATTTCATGTCTCAAACTTACTTTCTGTCCCGGTGAACCTTTCTCACCATCGAAGCCAGGGGCACCCTGGGTTGAACAGAAAACAGAAGTGGTAACAGCTCAGAATATGCAGTGACATTTCCCGGAGGGCACAGTTATGGCACCCGCCGTGGACTAAAGTAAAATACTTTGTTAAGCCAGTATCAAAACCATCTGAAGCCTCCTTTTCTTTCCTAGAGGAGATGGGTCATTTTAGGGACACTTTCATGGAACGCATCCTGTCCACGACTTAAAGAAATTTGGAGAAATCCATAAACAGTACAGTAAAAACAGTAAAGCCAGAAAGAGGCCTGCGCTCCACTGCTCTCAGGAGCCTTCGTTCTTACTTTTGGAGATTGTAACACATGTCCTCTGAGTAGCTGTGGCCCCCAAGTGGTCACCACAAGGCCACTTTCTCTCTTCCTGGCTCTGCCACGTTTCCAGCTCACCTGGGGCTGGGTGTGGCCAGCTGACTGAGCTCTGGCCGATGGAGGGACATCTGCCCGCGGGCCCAGAAGCGACAGGTGGCCGAGCTTCCTTGGGAGAAGACTCCCCACTCCCACCCCTTCCACCCCACCAGGGACATTTTTCTTGGACTCTTAGGGCCACAAGAAATCAACTTCTTTGTTGGAGCCAGCCTACATTTTTGTTACCACCGAGCAATTCAGCCTAATACGAGAAGAAATGTGTTTGAGTTCTGCTCCTGCCCCCGGCCCAGGCAGAGGTGCACAGTATTAAAAACCACAGTTAGTGAGTGAAGACGGTGTGGCAGTCAATGCAGGCTCATGATCGTAGCCGACAGATCACGGAGGGGCAGGACGCTGACAGCAGGGGGAAGCTTTGTGTTGGAGAGCAAAAGGATGTGCATGGAAAATCTCTGTGCTTTCGGGTCAACTTTGCTGTGATCCTAAGCATACGGGATTAAGAGGTAGGAACTACTGTGTATAAGTAAGCTATAAGGATACATTGTACAACACAGGGAATCTGGCCAATATCTTATAATAACTATAAGTGGAGTAGAACCTTCGAAAATCGTGCATCGCCACCTGTAGATCTATAACACATGACATTGTGTCAGTGTATAAACTACACTTCAATAAAAAATTAAAGAAAAATAAAGTCTTAAAAAAAACCAGACAATACAAAGCAAACGGCTGCTGTAGAAGGCATGGTTTACCCGCACTCCTGAAAAGCCCATGATTCCTTCTTCTCCCTCCATGGAAATGCCCTAGGAGAGAACAGAGAGACCTGAGGGCGCCCACACTTCACGCTCTGCCTGCTCAGGGGTCCATTCTTAGTGCCCCGACAGTGGCCGTCCTGCCCCTGTGTGTCTACTCCAGCTCCGCACACGGTGGAGCCCTAGAATGTCTGCAGTCGGCCTGGATGGCCATCAACCCAGGATGTCACCTGTCATCATCACCTAGTAAGTGACAACCGGGAGGACTGGGCATACGGGGCAGGCATGACCCAGATCAGGGAGGGCAGGGCGATGACACGGCTGGACCCCAGCAAGGAAGCCACCACCAAACCCACCCAGCCCCTCCATGGCACTTCTTTTCTTTTAAAGGGTTTAGATTCATTTATGAGCTAAAGTGTTGATTAGCTGGTGTTGACTGGGGAATGAAGACATTCTGAAACTGTTTTCTGGAAAACAGCGTAAAAAATGATCATACTTTCTTGCTGTAGACAAATGTATTGGAAACCAGAAGTTGCAGGTTGTTACAACCCAGACACAGTCTATCATTATGACGGGAACACCGAGAATTTGGGAACCACCAGTGAGAAGAAGCATCTTTATTCCTGACTTACTTTTCTTCCTGGTTCCCCCTCACTTCCTTTTTCACCCTGCACAGAATATGAAAGACAAGAAATGCTCATTAATTCGAGAACAGTAGTATTTAAAATTGATCAGGATTTATGATATGAGGTGAAAAGTATTTTATAAAACTGTAAATAATGACTATAAATGAACTGTAACAAATGACCCCTAACTTTTGCAGCTTCAACATTCAAGGGGAAAAATGTGCTATTTCTCCTGGACTTTCACAATACAGATGAAATTGTGTGTTATTTTTGGTATGATTGCAAGGCTGTCTCTCTTCTGCCCGTGATTTGCCTTTAGAGGCCTCAGCGGTAGGGGGCGCACGCCCAGGGGACAGCTCCTAATCATAACATTCACTTGAGTGAAAGAGTGTTAGGCGGGTCCTCTGAGGACAAGGCTCATTGGGAACGTGTTGAAACCCTGAGCGAGAGAAGCTTTGGAAAGCAATGTCAGCTTTACGTGATGTAGTTTTCCCACTTCTCTTAGCCTAAAATGGGGAAAGAAATGTAGTGACCAGTTGGGTCCCTTCCCCCATCAGTCCTAGGCCAGCACCCAGGATTCCTGCGGGTCAAGACTGCCCCCTGCAGGTTGGCTGGGCCCAGCCCCAGAACCTACCCCCTCTTGGCTGTGGAAAATGAAGGAAATCTGATTCAGATGCTTGAGCATCTCAGCATGGATCAAATCTGCTCTGGCCTCACTCCATCCTGGGCTCCTGTCCTGAAACTGGACAGAGGCTCTACCTTGCTGATGGTCAGGTCACCCCCAGGAGCCAAAGTCCCTCCTGGATCCACCCTGATGGCTCTGTGGAGGCCCCCCTCCTGCCTGGTTGTCCAGGGACGTCCTGCTCTGAACTCAACTGGTACATAACCGTCCCGTCTGGCCACACATCAGCCACCTCCAGGCCACTTTCGTCAACGGTCACGTCGCTCATAACAGCCGCAGCTGCCCAGACTGATTTCAACCATGGCCGGGGTCCAGCCTGCGCTCTCCTATCCGTGACTCAGCACCCACGCCCCACCTTGACAGATACTTGAGAGACAGGAATCATGTTCTACATTTGGGATCTTTACTTTGGTTCCCGTGACCTGTTATGGTGCGTCTCCCCCGGGTCTCCGCTCTGCAGCCCTATGAGGTCAGTATTCTACCAGGTCAGTGCTTCGGTCTTTATCAGGCACAAGGGAACCTGAAGGCTTAGGAAGGGTAAGTGGTCTGTCTGAGTGAGTGAGTGGTAGAGAAGGGTGTTAATTTTTATTTAGACTCCAAGAGTATGCTTTTAATCAAACAAAACATTAACAGAAATTATGAGTCAGAAAACTGACTTTGATCCAAAAAGCCCACGATGATGCTCCACGTCGGCAAAACCTACCTAAAAGTAGGTTTTATTTTGCCGAATACAACGTTTGTTCAGATAGCTCCATATCCTGGCATTGAGTTGCGCTCCGACCACTAACTATGTCTATACTAGAGACTTAGGACAGACCTGAGATTTTTAAATGGATTCTCGTGTTGTTTCAAATTCATCATAATTATTTACAGTGATGTACTGATACACTTGTGTGACTGTGATCAGTGCTTTCATGCATAGTTTGCCAATTTGGCGGTGAGGGCTTTTCCACTTTGAATGCGACTGTTTGAATGAGAGCAAAGAAAGTTACCTTTTTTTCTCCTCCTGTTTTTCGTTCAACTGGGAATACATCAATTTTGCTGAAGTCCCTTTACCTTATACTGCTCTGGGAGGATCACGTCATTTTTGGGCCTCTCGACGTAACTGTTGTCTGGTGGAATCCCACCGGGTCCCTGCTGTCCCATGTCGCCCTGTGAATGGTTTAGCAAAGCAGCTGTCTTTACATTGAAAAGACACGACCAAGGTTGAATAAAAGCACAATCCCACCGCAAACTGCTGTTTTTACCTTTGCATATTACTTACCACATGTACACCAATTTTATAGTGTTATAATCATAAAAATCATATATAGAATAAAATAATCGTAAGGTAAAATTATTTGATTGCTACTTGCATGAAGAATCACTTAGAGGGGGACTTCCCTGGTGGCACAGTGGTTAAGAATCCACCTGCCGATGCAGGGGACACGGGTTCGAGCCCTGGTCCGGGAAGATCCCACACGCCGCGGAGCAACTAAGCCCGTGCGCCACAACTACTGAGCCTGTGCTCTAGAGCCCGCGAGCCACAACTACTGAAGCCCGCATGCCTAGAGCCTGTGCACTGCAACAAGAGAAGCCACCGCAATGAGAAACCCACGCACCGCAACAAAGAGTAGCCCCCGCTCGCTGAGACTAGAGAAAGCCCGTGGACAGCAACGAAGACCCAACACAGCCAAAAATAAAGAAAGAAAGAAAGAAAAAAAGAAGAATCACTTAGAATTTATGCATACAAGCTGGTCATAATTTGGGGCTGCATTTGCTTCTGTGGAATTATCTACTTACGATGAATTTCTATACAAGGAAATTACTAGGTCTGGAGGCTAAATATCTTGGTGGTTCTTGCTATGTGTTATGCTACTGCTTTCTAAGATTGGTACCAAGACATAAGAAATGCCTAAGAAATGAAAGACCAGTCCAGTTTCACCACTACTTCACCAGTTAAGGGGGTTTTTATATAATAAAGAGCAGCATCTTTAATAAACATAATATCTCAGGACTGCTTTAATTAGCTTTTTTATCATTATCAAGAAACGCTTTTGTATGTGATGCACAGGTGGTGAAACCTTCAATCTGTAACATTACTGGACCACTATCCTTGTGTAATATGCTGATTTCACCTCCAGGAATTAACACAAAAAGGAAGTTACTGCCTTTTCTTTTGCTATTTTCACATATAAACTATATAATACAGATTTGAGCTTAGGTATCACATCACATGAACAGGAGCAAACTGAGATGATGTTATTGGCTGCAGAAAGTGGCATTCACAGTATATTCTGAATGTCTGCTAATATTACAGCTAAAAAATACCTAAAACTGTTCATCTCCCCTTTACCTATGGGGGCCTTGATGCTATTATTACTATTTTATTAATATTTGTGGATTATAGACATTAACTTCATTCTCATTCTATCTAATGTGACTATTCTCCTTTCCGCCCGATGATTTCTTCCCAGACTTTTCTTCTTTCTTCGTTATCTTACTATTTTCTTATATTCCATCATACAAGAGTTTCAATTTTTACGAATTTGGATCTTCCAATGTTTTTCTCTTGTGATCTTTTCCTATGGAATTCACACAAAGAAGAAAGTCTTTCCTTGTCACACCTGAGCAGTACGGGATTGCACTGAGTCTGCTGTTCAGTCAAAAAGCAAAATGGGAAGCAAAGTGAAAATGCGCGAAAAATGAGGCCAAGGGAACAAATCCGCTTGGCGGTGGGCACTCAGGTTCTGCAGTGAATGCAGTGGGTTGCGTTCTGCGAGGCTTTGCTTGTGGCTGTGGGTGCCGAGCTGAGCTTCTCACACACTTGATCTCAGGGGCTCCTCTCAAAGGCCACGACGCCTTTGAACCTTGGCACCGTGGGGAACTGCAAGAGTCCACGTGGCCTCTTTCCTGCCTTTGAGCCCAGCCCGAGCCGGCCACGCTCCCTGGTCCCTGGGCCGGCCACGCCCCCAGCCTGAGCCGGCCACGCCCCCTGGCCTCTGAGCTGGCTCCACGTTGTCTGCTGCTCTGTCTTCCTCAATCTCCTCTGGATGCCCCATGTCAGAGGACACCACAGGGAAATGCCTTTACTTTCTAGCTGCTGACGACGGCTGAAGTTACATGGGCGTCAGAGGTCCGGGGCTTCTACAGTCTTACTGATCCATAACCACCACTGGCGCCTGTTTCGTAACCTGACACTTTACAGTGATTGTTTCCTTTGCAAACGGTCTGTTTGCAGAGCACCTCAAGATAAGAGCATAAAACGAAGACATTAAAATGATCTGTCAATATTTCCTAATTCAATCTATTAAGTTTCCTTTACCTTTTCTCCTTTTTCTCCGTAAAAACCAAGTCCTCTGTTGCCCTGAAAGATAAATGGCTTCTGTAAGTTTAAAGTCAATAATCACGGTGAAATAAAATTACTTTTTTTTTTTAGAAAAAGAAACCTATTATCTATGTATCTGCAACATTACTGGATAACTATCCTTGCGTAATATTCTGGCTTCAGCTCCTAGGAACTAATTGATACAAAAGGAGAATTAATGTCTTTTCTTTTGCTATTTCCACATATAAACTGTGTAATAAACATCTGAGTCCATTCCAGATATCACATAAAGTGAACAGGAGCAAATCGGGATGCTGTAGCAGTTACAGAAAGTGGTACCAGTTACAGACAGTGGGTTCTGAGCATTCACTAAGATTAAACCTTAAGTGACAAAAACTCCGCGGTTCATAAAAATGATAGGGTTTTAATACAGCCGTGCTTTTAAGAAACTTGTATTTTGTACTTTAAGCAAAACCTGAAAAATAGTGGAGTAAGAACAGTTATTCTGTCACCCTTGGGAACACTTTGCCATTTGCTTTTTGAAATATATTTTATTGTTCAAATCCTGCAGACCGGGAAGTTGCCTATTATTGATTCCCTACTTGTGGTCCTGGGCTTTGACAGTCCAGGGTCCCTGCTAACTGCTTCTCTCTCCTTTAATCCTCTGTACCACACGATGAGCTTGGGCATCACAGATGGGGAAGGTGTCATACCCTTGGACCAATGCCTCACAGCGAACAAATGGTAGAGCTCAGGTCTGATCCCAGGTCCTCCCGACTCTTAATCCCGCGTATACCGACTCTACAGGTTAGGGTCGCAGAGCGTTTCCTTGGGTTCTGGCCCCTCTGGACTCAGAGAGCAGCCATTTCCCGCCTTGGATCCCACATTTGAAGATGGTGATTCATACCCTCCTCTGCCTCAGACTTTCTCATTTTGGTTAAATAATCCTAATTTCACAGAAAGATTTCCTACCCTTTGAACGATCTTAGGGGATGGTGTTCTCGGGGTTTAGCCAAACTTTTCATCTTCCTTTTTGCTTAAGAAGCAAAGCTAGGCTGGCGACCTAGTAAGTATTTGACAGATTCATGGAGCTGCCGTGCGTGGGAGGGCTGACCGGACACGATGCCGTAAGTCAGTCCTCTGTTCTCTGATTCCCAGCAGCTCTGCTTCCTTCTCAGGGCCCCTACCCATTGAGACAGAGGATCCTGTGGGGGGGGGCTATCTGATCTGTCTCTGCACCACACTGTCCACCCCCCTCCGATGCCCAGAGAGTTTCTGCAAACAAAAACAAAGCCTTTAATTAATCTTCGCTTTTCCTTTGCTTCTTTCCCACCTGGCTGGGAGCTGAAATCAAAGCACAGAAACGCAGCCAGGCTAGATGAGAACACGATTTGCTTGGGACCCCGAGGTCCCCCTGCCTCACGAGCCGGAGTCCAAGTCACCAGGAAGTGACCGGGCGGAGGGTGAGGGCTGTTTGTGCTGCAGCCAACTGGGGATCTGAGGCGACCTTGGGGCTTAGCCGCCGCGTCCTACATCCGCTTCTCTTGGCGCTGGGCCGTTCCCAGCCTGCTCCAGGCTGCCGGACAGTGGGGAGCCCGGTGGTGGGGACAGCAGCCCTAATGAGCTCCAGCCGCAGCTGGAAGCTGTGTCAGAGGTGATGGGAGCTGGGGGTGAGGTGGGGACAGCCAAGGTCCCCAGGCGGTTATAGAGATGGGGTTTCCGTGGGGCAGGCCTGGGAATGGGCAGGCTGGGAGATGTCCTTGGCCACATGCAGGCCACAGAATGGTTCTGAAAAGTTCATAACGGTAGCCCAGTATTTCTGACTCACGTCGAGTTTCGACCAAATACTTCCCTCGCCAACCTCCTACTGTTTGTCTTGGGCATTTATCTACCTTTCCCAGGTCACGCTAAACCCTAATTCTGTCACCAGGTTCCAACAAGCCACCTACTTTGCTGTGCTCCAGCCAGCTGACTCATCTTTCTCTGATGAAAACAGGATAGCGTTGGGCCTGAGCCTGGCTTGAAACTCACCAAACACAACCCTAGAAGCGGACATCACACTGTGGTACAACCTACCTGTATCCAGGTAAGAAGAGCGCCATCAGCTCCCTACACAACTTTGGTGGCATCTCGTCCCTTCTTGTAAATGAACACACACGGATAAGCACGAGCTGTCCCTAATTTGCTCTAGTCTACGTTTCTAATCAAACATTCACCACCAGTTGGACTTGCATGTAGCCACAGGAATGCTATGTGAGTTGCAAGCAACAAGCCATTCAATACATCCACTTAATGGCTTCATGTGACCATCCAGGTGCATCACTGGATTTATCCCTGGAGTTTATAACATTGTCTTAAAACCCTACAAAACGGTCCGCATCATGAGATAAACAGTACAGCTATCAACCAAGTAGTTCCATGGTCAAGAAGGACACATGCAAACACGTAAGGCCCCCCTCCCCTTTCCCTCACCATCCCGCCCCCCACCAACTTACTGGCTGTCCTTTTGGTCCAGGGGGTCCAGGGGGTCCCTGCACAAATACAAAGAAATTTGGAAACTGTTTTCTTTATCCCAGGACCCAGATAACATCTGCTGGAAAGCTCTGGGAAAGCCACTCTCTGTGTATTTAGAATACCGGGTAGTATGTAGAGAGGTTTCTAACACATTTGTCTCGGCGGGGAGGCAGGGCTGGAGGGGAGAGGGCGGGGGTCAGGCCCAGTTCTCAGGATTTGCTGGCTGTCCACACGCAGCTGTTTCTGGTTTGCTTTTCTGAGTTCAGGCTTTTGACTTGACCCCTGTCCTACTCATGTTTGCTCTGATCCCTTTGCAAGGTCTCAGGCCCTGTCACTCCAGAGACGGCTTCTCCCGGCTTCCTCTGCGGTCCCCCACAGGGCACCATCCTGCACTTTCTGCTGGTGGGCCAGCAAATGTGCACAGACAGAATTGACATCCAGGCCACTCCACAGGGTTGAGAATCCGCCTGCCAACATCACCATATGTCTTTCTGCAAAGCATTCAGCGTCAATACCACACTTGGGATACAAGTTTTAAAAATGCTTTAGAAGAGCAATTTGTGTTGAAGTACAAATAAGGGGACAGGGCAGGGGGCTGTGGGAGATTTTAATGGTTCATACAAAGACCCTGAGGCTGTCACCTCGGCTAGGGACCCAGCGGGTACAATCTGCTCTTTCACACTTCCCTGAACTGTGTGTGTAAAGTACGACACCCCCAAACCCTGTGGCACACGTGCTGTAAGCCGACAGCTGGGTGTGCCGGAGAGCAAAGAGCATCTTGTCACATAAGCCTCATCTCATCCCCTTCGGCCAAATCTCTCACAGCCACAGGGCTGCTTGGAAAAATGACCGTCATGGCACCAGGGGAACTGTGCTTTGTAGAAGCATGATCAATTATTATTATCATCTTATTATCGACAATTAGAAGGGAATGAATGAGCGCTCCCACCCCCGACTGTTGGTGTGACCCCATCTTCCCAGACACATGTGTGTCCACTGTTTCTCAGTGTGTGTCGAGAAGCTGACACCGCAGCTGCCTCGATCTTGAGCAGTGGTTTCCTCTGAGAAGGGCTCTCTCCCCTGCAGTCAAAAGTTCTCTTTGAGTAATTTAAGGCCTGTTTGTTTATTAACAAAAAGTGAGGGGAAGGAGAGAGTCAGACACCTTGCAGGAAGCAGTTCATCTTCTGGTCCTTTGTGCAGCGGGAAGGGCCTGAGGCGGCCAGGCCCTGGGACTCTCCTTCCCCCTCCCCTCCCCTCCTCAAAGCAGGCCCTCCTTCACCCAGGGATTTGTCCTGTCACACTTCACTCTATTATTTGATTTGCAGGAGGAGGGAACACCTGTAGACCACCACTCAGGTGGGGCACAGGGGCCACTTGTTAATTGGTGTCCAATGTCTCACCTATTATGATGGCTCTGCCCAGGTGCAGCACACCTGCTCTAATGGTCATGCCAGGTGTGGCACCCCTGTTTCTAATGGTGATGCCAGGTGTGGTACACCTGCTCTAATGGCCATGCCAGGTGTGGCACCCCTGTTTCTAATGGCGATGCCAGGTGTGGTACACCTGCTCTAATGGCCATGCCAGGTGTGATGGCCCTGCTTCTAATGGCCATGTCCAGCAGAGCCCATTTCTTCCTTATCGACCTATTGGACTCTGGTCTGCTTTGCCAGGGATGACAGGCCCTTGTCAGCTGGTCAGATGTGGTGCTGGGAGAGCTCGTGCATGACTGCAAGGGCGCCCAGCCAGCACCAGGTCAAAATTTGACCTAGTTGGCAGTGATCTGATGACCACACATTTTGAGTTCTCATTCTTCAACCTTGATGTCAGCAACGTGTACAAAGGACGACCTGTCTGGTCTTGGCGACCACAAGCATCAGGTTGTATCGTGAGGCTTTCACCAGCGTCTGCAGTTGAAGGAGCTGCATCTCTAGAGGACGCTTGACAACCTCAAGGGCGAGCACACGAGCCTGGTACTTACTGCTCTTCCTGGAGCTCCAACCGGACCCATCTGTCCCACAGGCCCAGGGCGGCCGGGAGGCCCCTAAGGACAGGCAACCAGAGAAGGCTGTTAGCAGAGGCCGACTGGGGCACGGAGTCCGGAGTTCTTCAACTTTCGCTTCGTCTCTTCTCTAATAAAAAGAACGCTTACCTGGAAACCGACCAGTCCGGGCACTCCAGCTTCCCCCTAAGTGAGAAGAAATAGTTTTAAGAATTTTAGCTTTTAGGCATCTGTAGGTTTAGTGACATTTTACTGCAATGTTGAAAATAAGTATATAAAGTGTATCTGCCGTCTCAGGACTTGGTGATGTTAATCACCCAGATATCTGGGGTGCTGTGAATGTGGGACGAGTGTGCCCACAGTTAGTGTAAGATTGAAAACAGCCTGGAGGGCAGTCAGAGAATTTCAAATCAGTTGTGATTCTGGGCTATTCCATCCCTCTCTGCATCCCTCCACTCCAGAGTTCACTTGGAAATTAACTTTGTTAATCGCGAATTTAAGCTGTGGTGCTTGCTCACGCCCCACCTCTACCGACTTACCCTGTATTTGTCGCGGTCCTCACTAGACAGAGCGTAGGGCTCGCCTTTCTGCCCTTTGGGTCCTTGGGGCCCCTAAATTAGCACATATATCATAGGAAGAAAAACGAAGAAAACAGTCCATTAGCATTCAGTGCAACAACTGTTATTTGGATGATTACGTGTTGCCTTTTTTTTTTTTTTTGGCGATACGCCGCTCCGCGGCACGTGGGATCCTCCCGGACCGGGGCACGAACCATGTCCCCTGCATCGGCAGGCGGACTCTCAACCACTGCGCCACCTGGGAAGCCCCTACATGTTGCCTTTTATAGGCAATGTCTAGCTCTTCTCACGGCCCATTCCAGTTATTCTGAACACCAATCTCTACCTTAACCACAAGGGTGAGAGTTTTACTTTCATTTTTACCCAATAGCATCTTTCTTACAGTTAAAATGGAAATACTCTATAGGATTTAAATTATTTTCAGAAACCCACGTGAAGTTTCAGTAAACAAATCCTTTCCTCTACCACCCTGTTCCTTTTCTTTGTAAAAATACTATTCTGTGTCTTCTTTGGCATTTATGTACTAAAATATCAACACATTCACACTGAAGCACCATTTCTGGGAGAGATACTGGGTCATCCTTTAAAAATGGAATTGTGTCAAATATACACGATGTGTGAGTACGTACGTACACATATACATGTGTTTTAACACCTACATATAAAGTCAATATTTCAAAGTGACGGCTATTTATTGGTAATGAAAGCTATGATATTAGAATAGAATAGAATGCAACGTAGCTTATGGAAAAGTTGAATCACATGAAAAACCAGCAGCCAGTGGAGGAGGTGGAAGGCGGCGGTGTGAGTGGGACCAGAAATCCAGCAGCCTCGGCGAAACGCAACGAAGGGTGTTATGGCTGCCCTGCCCTCACCTAAAAATGTTGTTTTTAAATAAAAAGTTTTGCCAAAAAATGTTAGTTTAACCCTGAATTTGCAATATACTGGTGGTAAAAAGGTAGCAATAGAATGCCGAAAAATATTTCAAGATTCTTTGCAAAGACCCTAGAAATTAAATGAAGCCACAAAATAGATCATTATATGGAAGTTCTTCCATTACGAAAAGTAAAGTCTATCTTGTATATCCCGGAGAACATCATTGTTCTGTCACGTCACAAAGGATGTTAGAATCTAATAAAGATGATGACTAATAGAGAATGTTGTCAAGATTTAAGCTTTTTAAAATTTTAGTTCCACGATTCCACTATTATTCACTGTTATTTGAATCGGAGCATGGGAGGAAATGAAGAAACAGGAGGCTGCAGGAGTGAACCACATAAGCCAAACCCACTACTTTCTACCTAACGCTTAAAGAATGAATCGGGGGCTTCCCTGGTGGTGCAGTGGTTGAGAGTCCACCTGCCGATGCAGGGGACACGGGTTCGTGCCCCGGTCCAGGAAGATCCCACATGCCGCGGAGTGGCTGGGCCCGTGAGCCATGGCCGCTGAGCCTGCGCGTCTGGAGCCTGTGCTCCGCAACGGAAAAAAACAAAAAAGTGAGCGGCCCCCAAAAAAAAAAAAAAAAAAAAAAGAATGAATCGGAACATGGAGTTATCTGAATGCAGGAACAGCACGCCTAGGTATCCTCAAGCCAACCTCAGCAGGGGAGGTGTGCTTTACCCTGACCGCTAACCAAGAGTGGGGAGCCACGGCTTCCCAGGGTGTAAAGGCAGGCCTGGCATGTGCTCCCGCCTCCCATCACTGTCCTGGGAGCAGAAGGCAGCTCAGCCTCTTCAGAGAGCTTTGCTAAGACAACTTCTCAAAGGCATCCCCTGCAGGGCCTCCTGAAAGCGAGATCTTTCACGCATTTCCACCACACAGATTCCAGAGCCGAGCCGTGGAATAGCCCGAGCGGTTCCCATACTCACACGGGGGCCGAGGAAGCCGCCAGAGCCGCTGGGTCCCGGGTAGCCTGCGTCACCCACTGTCCCGTTGCAGCCGTCGTAGCCAGGCGGTCCTCTGGGCCCGCCCTGGCCAGGATGTCCCTGGAAACAGAGAAGTGAGTGAGTCTTCAGCCCGCAGGGGTCTAGTTTTCATGTAACTGTGATGAAACAGCTTAAAATCTTCTCAGAAGAGATGTCCCTGGCATGAATCCAAGCGCCAAGACAACTCAAAATGAACCAATGAATGAATGAAAAACTAAGTCGTCAAGGGCACACAGGTGTCCTTCTCAGCGGCAGAGGGCCTGCACGACACAGTTCCGTTTCCCACGGGCTTTGGTAAGATGTCAACTGTCTTGGGGTTTCTGCTGCTTTGCTTCCTTGGGCGACAGGGAGGGCTGTTTTAGCAGGAACAGAAAAGGGTAGGTTGGAAAATTCTAGAAAACACTCTAGAAGTAGATGCTGCTTGGGGAGAGCAAGGGTCAGCTGTGCCCAACCGAATTCTAGATGGAGCTGTACAGACCCACGTCCTAAACGGGTGAGAGTCACACCTGCAGAGGGATCTCATCAGTGACTTAGCGGCAGGTAGAAGAGCTGATTTCCTTACTGACTTTCTTCAATAAGTCAATTGACTGATTGTCGTCTTCAGGAACAGGACTTTTTAGATTTTAAACACGAATAGAAAGCAAGTCAGGTGTTCTGGGATGCCGGGTGGGGGAAGGAAGGCAATGCGATCACATGTGTCTTTCGTGTAACTCGGGGTCAGGCTAGGTCTCTGGGCGTCTCAACCACGTGAATCTGGTTCTGGAGACATGGAGGGGTCAGGTTAATAATCTACAGTTTATGGACTACGAGACCAGAGCCTGTTTTGCTGTTTCTTTACACGATAGATGTTTAGATATACGATTTCTTATTGTACAATTTCTTTAAAATTTTGGTTTTCTTGATAATAGACCAAATATATATTCCAGAGTGATTTTTGAGGCCAGTGGGCTGTCTTTTAGGTTTACCTTGAGAAATCGGGAAGGTTTCAAAGGAAATGAACAAGCCCTACACAGAGTGCCTGTACCCTGAATGATATTAAGGAATACAATAAGAGAAACAGAATTTTTCTTTTGTTTGCACGTTTTTTTGCTTCCGATGTTCAGAGCCATTGCTTTCACTGGTGCCATCAGATAAGAGATCCAGTAGGCTTTTCAGTCAACCCTCTGGTGGGTCAGAGAAACCCTGATTGTCCCTGTAAATCATGAGACACAATCTCTCTGGTATTGGAGAGCCAGCAGCATTTTGGTCTTCGACGTAAAGGCCTCTTTTTTAGGGGTCTCTAGAAGCTGACCTTCAAATTCAGAAATCAAGCTCTGCAGGTGTTTTCATGACTGTTAGGATTCCGTGATGCTTTCATTAAAACGTACCACCGAGTCCCTTACTCTCCTCCTGAATTACCCGTCTGCTATTGGTCTTTCTGACTCGCTTAGAATCGATCTAAGTCATTTGAAATTGCATGCCAACCTGGTCTTAGTTTGAAATTGTCCTTCAAAGAAAAATTTCAATTCTGTTGAGCTAAATGTCCCTCTTGTGTTCAACATCTAATTAGGTCCATTTCTGTATGACACAATTCTTAGATTTACTGCACATCACTTTCTATATTCGACTTCTAAACAGCTAAAACTGTCAGGTCCTTTTAACTCTGTGCCCATTAGGTGCTTATATACTGAAAGTGGCATTTACATTAACTTACTGTGGAGCATCTATCAGACTTCGGCAGTTAAAGAGACTGTTTTTAGCAGCGCTGACATTCTGTAGAAAATGACCCGTTATCTGTACACCATGATCACCCCTCCGTATGATGACTATTTCCTCCCTAATTTGCGAAATATTTGCTTCTGATATTAAATGAGTATGAAGTGGAAAAACGAATGAAAACATGATACAGATCAGTTACACTATTTTCCCATAATGTCACTCCATCTAAAGCACGGACTTCTACTTCCAGAAGAGACCACACTGAGGAATGATCCAAAGAGTCCAAAAAAGTAGGTTAAAAATGGGCGATTTCCTTCGAGGCAGTTGGTAGGGAAATACTTTTGTTATTTGTTTAACCCTTGAAATCTGCGGATTCTTCAACTCTGCCAATTTCTCAAGATTCTGACTCATGTGAGAGTTATTTCCTGATTTGCTCACAGCTGTGTGTTGTCACTGATGTGTCTGTTCGAGGCCTCACTGAGGTGACACAGAGGATCACCAGCCATGTAGGTCTCACGTCTTGGCAAGTGTGGCTTCCTTTCCTTAGCTCTGCCTTCTGCTGCAAAAGCCTCCTTGAAGGTGGAGCTAAAGATCTGAAGGAAAAGCATGAATCCCCTGTGACTGCTGTCCACTCACGCCCTCTCCCTTTTCTCCTGCGATGGAGCAGCACCACTTGTGTAGCCTGGGGGGTTGAGGATTCTCCCGTGTGTGTGTGTGTGTGTGTGCGGGCGCGCGCGCGCGCACGCACGCGTACACATAAGTGTACAGGCATGGTGATAGACAACATGTGTGTAGGGTAAGGGCGCAGACATCTGCGTGTGTGTGAAGTTCCAGTGGCAGATGTCCTTAAACTTCAGCGGTTAGAGGGATGGGGCAGGTCTAAAAGTGCGATAAACACATTTATCCCGGAGGCTGGGATCTGCAGGAAGCCGGCCCTGGGAAATCTGCTCCTGGGTCCCGTGAAGAAGGCTGTAAGTCAGGCTGCTTTGTTTATTTTCTTATGCCACAAGAAGTAAAGTAAACTAGGTTAGAAAAACACATTTGATTGCGTTTTGAGATTTTCTCATGGACAAAACATGCCTTTCGTCTTCTCATTTATGTGCGGTAACTACCAAGAACTTGAGAAGCTACACAAGCTTCAGGACAGCCCCGCTCTTGGCTGGACTACTTTATATTCAGGTGGTTCTGGAGTTCAAACAAAATGTTCAGACTGGCTTTTTATAGCACGTCTGTGCAACACTGCAGCTTTTTACTACAAAACAGTGTCCAGTTTTAGCAAAGTAGCCTCAATTCTGAAGCCAAGTCCAGAAGGACGTTTACAAAGCAAACAATCTGTCCAATATTTGACTGGATTCCACGAGAAAAAAATACGCACATGTAGCCCCATAAGTTTTTTGTTATAAACAAGAAAGGGGGACTAGTGAGACATGTGTCTGTAAGTCATAAACGTCTTGTTTTGCACGTGTACAGTGTTTTAAAATTCTAATCTTATGAAAAACTTACGGGAATTCCATCGGCACCGGGAAATCCAGAAACGCCTCTGGCTCCCTGTAAAGAAGGCAAACAGACTTAATGATGGCCAAGACGCCTCCACCCTTCAAACAGCGAGAGAAATACCGACAGTTATGTACGTACCACGTCTCCCTTCGGTCCTGTGATCCCGGGAGCCCCCCTATCACCCTTGTCACCTTTGCGGCCTTGCAGTCCTGGGAACCCTTGTAAGCCGGGGGGCCCGGTGTATCCCTGTGGGCCCACTGGCCCTGGCTGGCCCTGTAGAAACAACACACGTTCAGTTTCCACAATTCATAACCATGCATGAGCATTTTCAACCATGTTGCTTTTGAAGCTACACTCTTCATTCTTAAAGAGCTATAATCTTCAGAGAACATTACATGTAAACCACCGCCTTCTGCCCCGAGAACCACAAAGCGATTCCTGGCTAACAAAGAAACCATAGAGTTCAAAGGGAAAAACATTAAATGTGAGGAAAAAATGATCCTAAATTACTACAGTGATGTTATTGTGAATGCTAATATTGGGTTGGGATGAAAGAATAAACTTACTTGGCTTTTAAAAAAAAGTCCTTTCAGTATAAAAGAAAGTGCCAATCAAATTTCTAAGATTTTCTCTCTATCTCAGTATAATGCATACAATAGGTATGGAAATGGAACTGGCATCCAGCTATCAAAGTGGTCCCTGAATGTTTAAGTGATTAGAGAATCTCTCCTTCTGTTCACACACACACACACACACACACACACACAGAGTGTGCGTGCATGCACGCACAGAGAAAAAAAGAAAAGGTTTCTGAAATATATAAAATGTACGTCCGTATACATCAGGATGGCTATTATTTAAAAAAAAGAAAAGACAAAATTACATGTTGGCCAGGATGTGGAGAAATTGGAACCCTTGTGCTCTGTTGGCGGGAATGTAAGTGGTGTGGTCATTGTGGAAAAGAGCATGGTGGTTCCTCAAAAAATTAAACAGAGAATTACCTTGTGACCCAGCAATTCCACTTCTGGGATAACACTCAAAAGAATCGACAACAAAGACTTGAACAGATATCTCTACACCCATGTTCACTGCAGCATTTTCCACAATTGCCGAAAGGTGGAAGCATAGTATCCACTGATGGATGATGGATAAACACAATGTGGCCTATCCACACAATGGACCATTATTCACTTTAAAAAGGAGGGAGGGTTTCCCTGGTGGTGCAGTGGTTGAGAGTCCGCCTGCCGATGCAGGGGACACGGGTTCGTGCCCCGGTCCGGGAGGATCCCACATGCCGCGGAGCGGCTGGGCCCTTGAGCCATGGCCGCTGTGCCTGCGCGTCCGGAGCCTGTGCTCCGCAACGGGAGAGGCCGCAGCGGTGAGAGGCCTGTGTACCAAAAAAAAAAAAAAAAAAGGAGGGAAATTCTGACACAGGCTACAATACGGACGAACCCCGAGGACATTACACTGAGTGAAATGAGCCACACAGGGACAAATCCTGTCTGATTCCACCAACATGAGGTCCCTAGAGGAGTCACATTCATAGAGAAGAAAGTACAATACCGGTGACTAGGGGCTGGGGGAGGGGAAAGGGCAGTTAGAGTTTTATCGGGACAGCGTTTCAATTCTGAAAGATGAAAAAGTTCTGGAGACGATGGTGATAATGTGTGCACAAAATGTGAACACGCTTAATGCCATCAAACTGTACAAAAATGATTAAGATGGTAAATTTTATGTTACGCGTGTTTTGCCACAATAAAAATAAAAACATTAAAAAGGGGGATCTAGCTCTCTTATTACTGAAACTAATTTATGCATTAGTTCTATATTAATATCTTTTGTTAAATTAATTGACTTAATTTTTTTAGAGTAGTTTTAGGTTTACAGAAAAATTAAGCAGACACTGCAGAGTTCCCAAATACCCCTCTGCTCCTCCAACTGCCCCCCACTCCCCCACAGTTTCCTCTACTACTGACCACTTGCATTCGTGTGGGAAATTTATCACAACTGATGAACCAATATGTTATTGACTAAAGTCCAAGATTTGTAATAGGGTACAATTTTTGTATTGTACATTTTATGGATATTGATGACAGTATAATGGTGTGTATCCAACATAATGGTATCATAAAGAACAGTTTCACGACCATAAAAATCTCCTGTGCTTATGCAATACTGTTATATTTTAATGAACCTCCCAGGTTAGCCCCAATTTAAAAAAAATCCCCAACCAACTAACTCTGGCTTGACTCCTCCTTAAACGCGTGGGTCTGCTGTTTATTCATCACACAGAGCCCTTCTCTGCCAAGGCCCATCTGCTCTCACACTTCAAATTCTGGTCTTGCCTTTAGATTAAGGGGCTTCTGAGTCAGTATTTCTAGTCTTCTCTTTCATTGCCTGTAGAGAACCTTGCTTATATAAACTGTGCAGCTAAGACGTTTGTCTGTCTTTGCAGAATGTTTCTAATCTGTGCTTAACGTCTCACACCACTGACAGGAAGTGAGTAATTTCAGATGCGGCGTGAGGTGCGGCCTTCATGTCACAGACAGAATCGGAGGGAAGCGCGTGGAGAGACCCTGCTGCCCCTCCCTTTAGATGTTGGACCCCAGGCATGAAGGGAGCAGTAAAGAAGTGTCTTCGGGGTGGAGGATACAGATGGAGGTTAAGATCCCGCTAGATGGCTTAGACCTGCCCCAAAGCTTGGGCCCCCGGCCTCCTCAGACAAAGGGGAGACTGGGGCTCCCTCAGGGCCAGGTCAGCGTTTTAGGGATGGTAGATTCTCTGCTCTCCCCGCACGAGTTCCAGAGAGGCCAGTCCGTGCAGGAACCAGCAGATGCTCCCCTGGGGTAGCCTGACCACACGCATCGTGTGTCACGGCAAAGCCAGCGTATTTGAATCTTTGGAGAACGTGAAAAAAGTGGTTAGGAGGATTGTGGTACAAGACGGGTAGCCCTGACCTTGGACACATGACATCCCAGGCTCATCCTTTTCTAAGGTCTTGGCATGATACATTTGTTGGAAGTTTGGGGACAAACATGCTTTTTTTTTTTTTTTTTTTTTTTTTGGTATACGGGGTCTTTCCTGCTTTGGCCTCTCCCGTTGCAGAGCACAGGCTCCAGACGCACAGGCTCAGCGGCCATGGCTCATGGGCCCAGCCGCTCCGCAGCATGTGGGATCTTCCCGGGCCGGGGCACGAACCCGCGTCCCCCGCGTTGGCAGGCAGACTCTCAACCACTGCGCCATCAGGGAAGCCCTGATTCAGATTTTTATGGCTCTTCCTCAGCTGTGCTCATTTCTGTTTTGTCTGTGACTGCAGACCATGCCTCTAAGCCTCAGAATTCCCCTAACCATCGGAGGCCCCTAGTTTGTTAGTGCTTACAGGGAGCAACCTTTGGGGGATAGAATGTTCCTCATTAGTGCTGTCATTTTTATTGCCCATAATCTACATCTCTTCCAGGGGATGACTGTCTAGCGCCACCTAAGAGGGACCGTCTCCCATTAACCCAAATGGGATACGTGCGTCTTAATGAGGAAAAGCCTCACCTTGTCTCGAGTTCATTAACCTTTCCTGATTCCCTTTGATGGGGAGAGTGACTAATGACATGGTCTCATTTTCCTCCCATTGTCAGTAAACTTCTCTTTAACTTTTGTTTCTTGGATGGGAAGTCTGACTTTGGGAATAAAACTCTAGCCTTTCCTTTTCTGGAACACGCTCTCACTTTTTTCTTTTTATGGAGGTGAAATTCCCATAACACAAAACTACCCATTTTAAAGCGGCTTCAGGTATATTCACAATGTCCTCTATCTGTCACCTCTATCTAGCTCCAAAATACTTTCATCAGCCCGAAGGAAATCCCATACCCACTACCGTCATTCTCACCCCCTGACCTCCAGCCTCTGGTAGCCACTGTCTGCTTTCGGTTTCTATGGGATTTACCCATTCCGGATATTCCATATGAATGGAATCATATGTATGATATATGACCTTCTGTGTCTGGCTTCTTAACATAATGTTTTTGAGGCTCATCCATGTCGTAGCACGTGTCGGTACTTTATCCACGTTTATGGCGGAACAAGATTCCACTGTGTGGATAAACCAGTTCGTTAGTTGCGGACGGTGCTGCTATGAACATGCACATACCGCTATATGCTTTCTTTGCACACACCTGCTTTCAGCTCTTTTGGGTCTATACTTAGGAGTGGAATGGCTGGATCACACGGTAACTTTGTTTAACTGTCTGAGGGAGAGAGTGCCAGACTGTTTTCTACAGCGGCTGCCCCATTGTACATTCCCACCTGCAACGTGTGAGGGTCCTAAATTCCCCTACATTCCCACCAACACTTGCTATTTTCCATTAAAAATATATATAGCCTAGAGGGTGTGAAAATGGCGTCATTCTGAAGAGCTCATCTTGAGCTTCTGACAGATGAAACATTTCACAAAATCCCCTCTAGCTGCGGCTCTAGGGAAAAGCCGGGACGAGCCTGGAGGGAATCTGAATGATTCCCTCGTCTTCCAGGACTGGTCCCTCAGTCTTGCTCTCAGTGCAAATCCTGCATTGCTGGGACCAAAAGGACCCTTATGTCAAGGTCTGAGGACCCTGGTATGCATGCTTTGGTCATCAGGGATGAGATTTCCCCTAGGATATCCTGCCCACCAGGGCATCTAGGGCGTTTGCAGAGAGCAGCTGGAATGATTGGTAACAAAGAGGATTTTCCTCTGTACTAACCATCACCCTTACCAACTTCCAGCCTCAGACGAAAAGTCCTGATCGGAAAACTTATTCCCACCTCTTCCTTTCTTTTTGTAATAAGTGACGTTAAAAATAAAAATTACCCCAGAGAGAGTAGGACTGTAGCTTAACTGCCTTTGCATAAATTTCTAAAGCTCCTAAAATTCCTGCAATATACTTGACAAAAGGATTTCCACAAAATACTTCTCAAAAGCCAGCAGACATGTGGAAAGGAGCTGTAAGCCCATGGGCTCCGCCCCCCGCCCACAGAGAACTCGATTCGTATAGATGTATCACTTCCTAGGAAACGGGATAATGGGAGGGTCCTGTACTCCTGTATCTTCTGGGATGAAGCGCTACAAAAGGGTTCAAAAAATGGTTTCTCTCATTTTTACCCCCAGGACAAGTGTGTCAAGTAGGTATCGCCCCCGCTTGAGAGGGGAGACAAGCGGGGTCTGGAGGGTTAGGGTCAGGGATGACTGACGCATTTAGGTCTCGGCAGGGGTGGAGTCCACCTTCCACGCCACCCTTGCTGCTCAA